CGCCCCGTGTGAATTCGTTAAGCAAAAGCGGGGTATTGGCTTTGGCATGGGCACAAGGATGCTGTGGAGGCTGCGGCCTTAGGCCTTATGGCTGCAGGTAAGGGGAAGTAGTACACACGCTTTGGACTTGCTACAGTCGGGGGTGGTTTTGGGGACAAGAAGTCTGCAGCAGGGTAGCTAAGGCTGGCTCTAGAGAAGAAAAGGGGACAGGTAGCTTGGGGAAAAGGAAGTCCGCGCCTGTCTTTTCAGGTTGGCCAGGAGCGCGGATAAAACCAAGGGGAATAGGAGGACAGCTATCTCGCGACAAGCCTGAGCTTGGGACTACCATACAGTCCCCATAGGGAACTGATTGACGCCATTCCCCTCCCCCACTCTGGCGGGTAGGACTAGAGAACGGTTCGAAGAAAAACGCATGCGCAGGAAACTAAGTTATAAACCGCTGAGGCTCGAAGTTCAATATCTGTGGGAAGACGCAGGCGCATAAAAAGCCCGGCACCTTTACGAAGCCGGAGGCTGAGCCAAAAACGCATGCGCAAAATCGTCTGACTGCCGAAGGTGGGACCACTGTATATATTACGCATGCGCCTAGTTGCTGTGTGATGCAAGGGGCGGTGCAGGGAGCTGGTTGCGCGTGCGCAGAACTTGTTCAAAGGGCCTTATTTAGGTTGCGCAGGCGCCCGCTGGCCATTTCTTCTTAGCCACGCCGAAGTCGTGTGTGTAGGTGAGTCTCCGCGGATCCTTGTTTGCCGCCCAGCGACACCCAAGTATGCTCTTTTTTGCGGGGATTGGTTGACTCCTAAGGCTCTGGTAGAGCCTGGGGGCCTTTGGCAAGCTGTGAGGTGCCGCTAAATGCCGCGGAAATTTCGCTGAGCCTTGGCAGCGCCGCCGAGGCCTGCAGGCCGCGACGACTCTATTGTGTGAGATGTCGGAGGAGGCGGAGCGGAAGCGGCCGCCGCCATTTCCTTGCCTCCACGCTGGCTCTAGGCCGGGGTCCCTTCGGCTTGGAGTTTGGGCACTTTGTTCCCCAAACGGCTTCGGGGTTCGGATCCTTGGCCGATGGTGTGGGGTATTGGAGTGGGTTAAGGTATCTGCACGGGTGGAGCTCCTGACACCTTTCTGGTTCCCGTGCGGCGCTCCGACGGTGGAGGGTCATTTGGTTAACGTTCTTAGGTTTTATCCTCATAACCCGCCTTACAGTCTATTTCGACGCCAGGATCCTCAAAGAGACGATGATGTTGGGCACCGAAGGCGGAGAAGGATTCGTGGTTAAGGTCCGGGGCTTGCCCTGGTCTTGCTCGGCCGATGAAGTGCAACGTTTTTTTTCCGGTGAGTTTGAAACAGGAGGCGGGAGTTGTCAGCCCCACTGTCGGGCGGGCTGGCGAGCGGGCCGGCTTGCGGCTGGGGCTGAGCTGGGCTGGGCTGGGCTGGGCTGGTCCGGGGCGGGGCGGGGCGAGTGGGCCTTGCGGGTGGCGCCCCCTGGCGGGACGCGGGCGGTAGCGGTTCCCTCTGTGCTGCTCGCGCCCAGCGGGCCGCTGTTACGCAATGGAAATTGTGAAAGCTCCACCCGTTCTCTTCGCCCCCCCCTCCCCCGGATGGGGGTGCTGCCCACTGGAGTTTTTCTTTCTTTTTTTCGATCTTAAAACAACTCATCTCTTGTGGATGTCCTTTCTAAAATGTCGATTTGGACAAGTGGGATTTTTCCCCCTCAATCTTGAGAAAATAGACTAGTAATAGCTGGGCAAATTATAGTAATTTAAAGTATAATTGTTTTCTGATTTTGGTGGTGTTTGGAAAGGGGTATTTTTGTTGGGAAAAGTTAAAATGGTCACTTTCTAATTTTAGTTTTCCTAATTGAGATTTGGTAAATGAAGAGTTCCTGCTCGTCTACTACTTAAAAAGTTTTTTTTGTAGTTGTAGATGGACAGCATGCCTTTGTTGAATTTTTTATGTGTTGCTAAGGATCCCAGTCCAGTGCATCACACATGCTAGGCAAGAGCTCTGCCACTAAGCTACAACCCCAGTCCACGTCTGCTTCTTTAACTCCCTTTACAGTTGAGGTTTGTGAAGCCCAGGGATGTTTTCTTAGTTGTGTAGTTTTTTTTTTTTTTTTTAAACAACTGTATGTAGCTTTTCTGAATAATTTCTCCTGGAATCTTCTTGTTCCTGGTATTAGTAAGAGTAGACTTGAGTTATATTTGGAAGAAGTTTTCAAGTTTTGGAAAAGATTCTTGTAGTATTGACTTACTATCTGAATTTAGCTACGGTAACAGAAAACGACCTGTAATACAAGAATCAAGTATACTGGAAGCCACTTTTGCAGGGGGCAAGACTGGGTTTGGTTTCAGCTGTGCAACTTGGAGCATTTTAGCTTGGTAACATGATCCCCTTTCAGGTGAGTATTGGGCCTGCATTGGATTTGATTGAGAAACTGTAAACTGTCAGCTGTAAAACTGTCAAATTGGTTGGACCAAAACTTAATCTGATGTGTTCAGAAAATGCTGTAAAGTCCCAAGGTCCAGATGTGATCTTGTTATAAGTTCTAAGAATGATGAGACTTGAGTACCAAGCGTTAGAGATGAGTTTGATTACGAACCTGCTTTGAATATTGGGTTTTCTTGAATTAAGATGTATTTAGGGAATGAGTTTCATGGATGATGAGAGAATGAATGCTTAAATACCGAGAGACATGCTAGGAGTTGGTAATATCTTCATTTAGGCTTCACAAGTAACTTACTTTTTAGTGGTGACATAAATGGGCACTTCCATCTGTATCACCCACAGGTAGTTTAGGTGTAAATTCTGTATTAACGGTTGTTTTCTTTCCAGACTGCAAAATTCAAAATGGGGCTCAAGGTATTCGTTTCATCTACACCAGAGAAGGCAGACCGAGTGGCGAGGCTTTTGTTGAACTTGAATCAGAAGATGAAGTCAAATTGGCCCTGAAAAAAGACAGAGAAACTATGGGACACAGATATGTTGAAGGTTTGATTTATGTTGCCCTAGTAACAGTAAAATGTTAAACACATAGTTCTTACCCTGTTCTGAATTTTAGGTATTTGACCGCATGGAAATGGTCATCTAAGGGAGTTTATGGCAACTCTTCTTAGTTTATCTAAAGACCCAGGAAATCTGAACTTTGTTCTATCATTTTCCAAAATTGACTAATTCTAAGCACCTCTTTCAGTATTCAAGTCAAACAACGTTGAAATGGATTGGGTGTTGAAGCATACTGGTCCAAATAGTCCTGACACGGCCAATGATGGCTTTGTACGGCTTAGAGGACTCCCCTTTGGATGTAGCAAGGAAGAAATTGTTCAGTTCTTCTCAGGTATGTAGTCCTGTTGCTGAGCAGTGAGTTTGGCTAGCTTCTCGCAACATGATTATTTAATAGACATGATTAATTAAAATTGATTAGATTAGGTACTTAAATAGGTTGTGAGTATATGCTGATGAATTAATGTTTTCTTCCTAGAGACCTTCAAATAACTTAAGCCCATCTTAAAAAGGTGGAAATTAGAAGTACCAAAATGTTAACTTTGCTTATATTTAGTATTGTAGTTCAGAGTAGATGTTTGAGGATTGTCCTCAACAGCTTAACCACCTCCCTTACATTGCTGTTTAGCAAAGTACTTCAAGTTAAAGGTAAGATTCTTTAACATTAGAATGAGTGAGGTTGTTGTAATTTATGAGTTAAGTGTCTTTGTTTCAAGACACTTATTTGGTACATGAGACCAGAAATAATTCTAATGGTCTGATTCTCTATGCAGAAAATTATTATGGAAACATCTTGGTTTAGCCTGTTATAAATTGTTACTGAAAAGTCAAATGTAGTTGAGTACAGGTTGAATGCTTATAGTTTCAGTACCTGAAAAACAGTACAGAAAGCTTTGAAATTGTTCTGGGCCTAAAGTATTTGAATGTTTTTATGCTGAAGAGCTGATAAGATTGCATGTTTAGCAGAATGTTAGTTCATAATGTTTTAAATACTATTAATATTCTTGATATAATAAAATTGGATTTAAGAGCAAGAAATCCTTTCATGGTTTAGTGTAGGATGTGTTAAAATTTTGACTCAGATATGTATCAAGTCCTAATATTGTCAGAATTTCTGAAATCAAGTCTGTTTTGTTTTATCTAAATTGGTGAGAATTGAATGTATCTGTCAACGTTAAAAATGAACATAATTTCATATCTTCTAGGAAAGTGCTTTAAGCCCTTTTTGTAAGCTTGGGAATGTATCCACGGAAAGGATTTTTCATAGACGGAATTTCCAGAAGTGAATCATACTACTGTTAGAGCATAAGAGTGCATGATTGTGCTGTGTAGATAGTTGTTTGTTGAAAGTTTAGATTGTATGTTTGTCAATTATGTGATTTAAGTAATGTTTCAATTTTTATGAAATGTTTAAATGTGTACTTGTAAAAAAAATTTTTTTTGAAGTTCCAATAATTTAAAGCATTGAAATATAAAATGAGGTAAAAGGTGTGTCTTGAATTTAGTAAAACTGTTATTTTAATGCTTGAAAATTATATTAAATTCTTGTATACTTTTCAACATTGCATAGATAAGAGTGTTTTTAATTGTTGAATTCTTAATGCACCTTGTGTGGAGCAGCAGTTTTTTTTTTATACATTCATACTGTACCATGGGGTGTGTTAAGAATTGAGTTATACTTTGTAATAGTGGAACTTCATATTATTGCAATGCATATTTAAAAGAATACTTGTTGAAAACATACCATTCACCTAAAGTTAAAATTCTGGTTTATTTAAAGCTATAAGAAGAATCATTTCTGGGCTTGTGATGTTAATATTGCCCCCCTACTGGGGTTATTTGTCCTTGGGTTGAAGGGTTGGAAATCGTGCCAAATGGGATAACATTGCCGGTGGACTTCCAGGGGAGGAGTACGGGGGAGGCCTTCGTGCAGTTTGCTTCACAGGAAATAGCTGAAAAGGCTCTAAAGAAACACAAGGAAAGAATAGGGCACAGGTGGGGATGGATGGTTGGTTGGATATGTCACTTTTCTTATGGTAAACAATTAAATCCATATTCTCTCTGCTTAACAGGAGGAAATAAATAATCTATTTCCTATTCCCAGTTAATTGATACTTTGCCATGTTCAGACTTTTGCTAGTCAGCGCCCTATATTGCTTTTAAATAAATTTGAGGTTTTAAAATTGGCCCTAGTTAATTTGGTCTGCTATGTGATTTTTGTGAGACTCGTATTAACCCCAGTCAATGGAGTTGAGAGACTATGGCTTTAAAAATTAATGCAAACCTGGCTTTAGCTGTAATAACACCCACCTAGTAAATTAATATTACCATAAGAAAATGTGATACTTTCTGATCTTGTTTTTAAAGTTGAAATGCAACAAACTTTTTCTTGCTGTATAAATATTCTGCATATGTATTAATAAGCATAGCTTTCAAGAAATTGTCACAAAAGGTTTTATTCTCTCTGCTTGTGACTATTTTTCATTGAAGCATGCGCTTACCTATGCTGATTCCTACTAAAAGCATAGGCTGGGGTATATATTGGCGAGAGGAAATGTGTAGTGTGGGCTAGATTGTTGGTGGAGGCTGGCCTTTTAGCCCACTTGCTATACATACTGCCAATGGATTTGAGTTGAAATGTGTTGAAAGTTGAGTGGAATTATTTCCCTCCTAAATCATTTATTTATAGTACTCCTCTCTACCCCTAAGGTTGGGCTCTGCCTCAGAGGAGTTTTTTCCCTGTAAATTTTACATTTAAAGTAATATTATTGAGTGAATTTCTGGTCATTGCCTATGCAAATATAAGAAATCTGGCTTTAAATATTAGTCAGTTTCATGGCTATGACTAGATTGTTTTCTTGTATAGCTAAACACCTGTATGAAATGAACTAATGTTTTCTCTCCCCTCCCCATTCCCCTCCCTCTTGAACACTGCTTTAGGTATATCGAAATATTTAAGAGCAGTCGAGCTGAAGTTAGAACTCATTATGATCCACCAAGAAAGCTTATGGCCATGCAGCGGCCAGGTCCCTATGACAGACCTGGGGCTGGCAGAGGGTATAACAGCATTGGCAGAGGAGCTGGCTTTGAGAGGATGAGGCGTGGTGCTTATGGTGGAGGTATGTGGTGATGTGCAAGGTGGGACCAGTTTGTTCCTTGTTTGTCTAGGTATTTTCATTTGATTAATTGTACTTTTTGTCTTTCAGGCTATGGAGGCTATGATGATTATAATGGCTATAATGATGGCTATGGATTTGGGTCAGATAGATTTGGAAGAGGTAAGGTAAGAATTGAATTTCTCAGCTGAGGAGTATTACACTCTTGTCCATCTAGACCTCAATTACTGTTTTTCAGGAATGTCTGATCACAGATATGGGGATGGTGGTTCTACCTTCCAGAGCACAACTGGGCATTGTGTACACATGCGGGGATTACCTTACAGAGCTACTGAGAATGACATTTATAATGTAAGTACAAGATGAATTCACAAGTCAGATATTTAGTATGACAGTAAAACTTGGACCTTATTCTACTCGAAGAAAATTGGGTTTACAGTTTAGTTTTTCATAATAGTAGCAAATTGACTTGATTTCTTTGAAATGTCGTTTTAGTTTTTTTCACCACTCAATCCTGTGAGAGTACACATTGAGATTGGTCCTGATGGCAGAGTAACTGGTGAAGCAGATGTTGAGTTTGCTACTCATGAAGATGCTGTGGCAGCTATGTCAAAAGACAAAGCAAATATGCGTAAGTCTGAATTAATCACTTGGACACTTAGGTGGTTGTGAACATTTTAAGATAGAGAAATAGAATAGTGGGTTTGGATATGTTGGAAATTTGTGGGTTTTAAAATTAGTTATGACTGAAGGAGATTTGTTATGAACATATCTTGAAGTTTGTTTTTAATTGATAATTTAGATGAATGTTTTATTAAAGACAAGTTTCTACAAACATCAGAGAAGTAGCTAGACTTTTTTTTTTTTACCAAAAGTGTTTGAAGTTCACAGATCTACTTGTTAAAGAACTTAGTGTTTATCTTGTTTTCTTTCACCAACAAACATTTTCAAACTTTCTTTTCTCTCATTTCAGAACACAGATATGTAGAACTCTTCTTGAATTCTACAGCAGGAGCAAGCGGTGGTGCTTACGGTAGCCAAATGCTAGGAGGCATGGGTTTGTGTAAATATCACTTTAGTGTCCTTTTTTTAAGCTAACCTTGTATACCTTTTCTCTCATTTCAGAACACAGATATGTAGAACTCTTCTTGAATTCTACAGCAGGAGCAAGCGGTGGTGCTTATGGTAGCCAAATGATGGGAGGCATGGGCTTGTGTAAATATCGTTAGTTTTTTTAAAAACCAAAATATCTGTATAAGTCAATTATTGTAAGTTAAGTTAATCTATAATAAGTGTAGCATAATTAATAAGTGTAGCATAATATTTAAGTTTAGTATAATTAAGTTAGCGTAACAATTTAAGTTAGGCAAAGAAAGCAGTTTATTACTTTAAATGAATTTTGTAATGACTGTATTAATTACTATGTAAATTTTGAGTTGAATCAACTGCTCAGGATAGATAATTCAAATTAGATTTCAGTACTTTGGGGGGAAATGTAGAATGCAGCTAAATTATTAGAGTATGAAGCTTACATCTAAAATAAAATAGTAAAAACAGGATTAAAATAATTAATTTGGGGGCATAATTAGCTGGGGATAATTAGGTATTCAGTGATACCTGTGTATTGACATACTTAAACGTAACAAGCTAAGGGGGAAACCCCACTAAATCCAGTCAAGCAGTTTCATGAGATGTTCACAAAATGCCTCTGCTTAAGGAATCGTGGATTTAGTCCTGCTGATGTGTATGCTGCTGTTAACCATTTGGTTCATAAATATTTGACTAGCTCAATGATGAATAGAAGAGTTAATCTGGTAAATAGACAATAGACAGAAGGAGACAGGGTTAGTAATATAAGATGAAGACTGGAAAATCATAGATATAGAATTACAAGCTCGGTACCACCAGGTACCACATTACATAAGGAACAAAGCTCTAATGTTCTCTTAACTTAACAGCAAACCAGTCCAGTTATGGTGGCCCAGCTAGCCAGCAGCTGAGTGGTGGTTATGGAGGAGGCTATGGAGGCCAGAGCAGCATGAGTGGATATGGTAAGCATGTTTTTTTATATACGTAAAATAAAGTTTAGGTAGGTTTCTTTAGTTGGGAAGTTATGCAGGTTTCTTTTTTGTGAGATTGGGTTATTAAATGTATGCTTTTGATCCTAATTGTTCTTAATAGCTTAATTCTCAGAAACAATCATTGGGCGGGGGAAATGTTCTATGAATTTAATAAATTAGTGATTGCAACTTTGAAATACTATCGAGCCAGAAACCATGCCTTCATTTATTAAAACATTAGAATAGTACACTTTTTCTGTCTTTTGGTTAAATCAATTTTTGATGGAGGGAGATTTTTAAAGTAGAATGGTGGTTGGGTTTAGGACCGTTATTTACTAGTCAGTTAACATAGAGATGGTTTTATTAATTTTTTTTTCAATTGGTCTAAAGAATGGTGATTTTGGTATTATAGTCTTACCCTACAAAATCCTTTTGCAGACCAAGTTTTACAGGAAAACTCCAGTGATTTTCAATCAAACATTGCATAGGTAAATATTTTCTCAAAAAATATAATTTAAATTCCCAATAGCAAATACTGATATGTTGTAATAACACTATTTCTATAGCAGTCAATGGCTCTGACTTAACTCCATGGAGGCTGCCATTTTGGGCACAGTGAGTTGCCTTTAGTCCAACTTTGTCCTCTCACTTCCTGCCCACTATGAATAGGAAAAGCAAGAGACATCCCCTGTGCTCCCTATTCATACATGCCATTCGAAGAACACAATGTGATTGTTATGGTAAATTTTTTTTTTTTTAATGCCTTGCTTAGCTTTAAAAAAATGAAGTAATTTTGCAATTTTTGAAAAACACTAGTTTTCCTTTAAACTTAATTTTCCACGTTGATCCTGAAGAATCCATTTAAATGGTAGCACAAGAGTCTGGCAAGTTGGTACTGCAGAGAAAAGGGGTTAATTGAGACTTGTTTGGAGTCGGGATTCCCCTTTCCCAAACATGCTTCTCGCCACTTGGACAGCAGCCATTTGTACTCGTATACATTTTAAATTTTTTCTTGGAATGCATTATTTTATTTGACTGAGTGTCTGACACTACTTCTAACTTGTCAAATTGATCTCTTTGCAGGTAGCCAAGGAGCAATGAACAGCAGCTACTACAATAGTGGAAGCCGTGCATCTATGGGCGTGAACGGAATGGGAGGGATGTCTAGCATGTCCAGTATGAGTGGTGGATGGGGAATGTAATTGATCCTGATCACTGACTCTTGGTCAACTTTTTTTTAAAGAAAAAACAAAACTTCAGTTTAACAGTTTTTGAAATCCAAGCTTGTGACTTATGCTTACTCTATATGTGGGAATCAGGATTATTTGAAAGATTTAAGGTTCAGTATTTTTGAACACAGCAGTCATCCAGGATGTTAACAGCAAAGTTGAGTAAACTATAACTGTTAAACAATTTTCAGCTTTTCTCAAGTTAGTTATATTGTAGGATGTACTTAAGCAGTAAGCGTATTTAGGTTAAAGCAGTTGAATTATGTTAAATGTTGCTCTTATACCATATTACATTGAACACTGTTTGGATGCATGTTGAAAGACATGCTTTTTGTAAAACTCAATATAGGAGCTGTGTCTACAATTAAAAGTGAAACATTTTGGCATGTTTGTTAATTCTAGTTTCATTTAATAACCTGTAAGGCACGTAAGTTTTAAGCTTTTTTTTTTTTTTTTAAGTTAATGGGGAATATTTGAGACGCAATACCAATACTTTAGGATTTCGGTCTTGGTGTTTGTATGAAATTCTGAGGCCTTGATTTAAATCTTCATTGTATTGTGATTTCCTTTTAGGTGTATTGCGCTAAGTGAAACTTGTCAAATAAATCTTCCTTTTAAAAACTGCACTTTGTCTTGTCTGTGCTTCAGTGTCATGTGGACTGTTTCTTGGTGCTCTATTCCTGCCTGGGGCGTAGGTCCTCGTATCTGACTGGCAGAGAGGCTCGGCAGTTGAGGCTGTTGTTGTTAGATGTCTTCAGACTTCAATTCCCTTCAGTGCAACTGCAGGTAAACATGGCTTTGGGGTCCTTGGAAGAGCTGTATGGTTTGGCCTGGCTGCACAGGACCTGATCTGAGCTGCTTATAACTTGTAAGCACTTGCATAAAACAAAGGGGAGCTCACTGCATGGCCTGCATGTCTGGGAGGCCTTCAGGCATGGCTACAAAAAATTCCAGAAGCAAGGGGGTGGCTGGAAGCTGCCCTCCCCAGTCTGATTGCATTTTTTGAATTTTGTATATAGGTTGTCTGCTAAAAGGTCATAAGATGGTTTTTGTTCTGGTGAACCCTGGGGCCTCACCCATACAAGGCAAGCACTCTGCCACTGAGCTGCATACCCAGCTCACAGACATTTTTTAGTTGTATGGACACAATACCTTCATTCTTATGTGGTGTTTAGGATTGAACCCAGTGCCTCACACAAGCTAGACAAGTATGGTACCTAACACTGAGCTATAACCGCAGATCCTTCACTGTCTGAAATTGCAGTTTTCAGCTTTACATTTTTGCTTAATTCTTAAGTCCATTTGGGAGCAAAACTCCCATTGCCTTGCAAAACAATTAAAATATCATAAAGCGCTTCTTGGTGTGCACATAATTAGCTTTAATTTCATACACTGAAATTCATGTTTTGGTTGCTCAAGTTCAAATGATTTTTTTTTTTAATATTTTTCAGTTGCAGTTGGACACAACACCTAGACATAAGTTAAGGCAGTTCTTAGAGATACAGACCAAGGAAGCTCTTTGGTAGATGTATAAATAAGGTCCTTGTGGTTTGGGAAACATTACTTATTCAAATGGTATTAGAGAATTTAGGTTGCAGTCATGTGGTGTGTGGGCTTATGGCCTTTAAAGCTGTTAAATTATTACCATGCCCATCCTGAAGGTTTTTAAACTTGTTACTGTACAGTGAATAGACTTGAAAAAGTGTTTTGTTCATTTCTTGTTTTCCTTGGCAGCATTGCACATAGAAGACTTACATGGAGGGTTCTGCAGGTGTCGCTTGGTTGCATGCCCTGCTGGGAGGAGGATGCAGTTCCACACTAGTGGATGGAAATGCCTACAATATACCATGTAGTTTTTATCTTAAACAGGCCTAGAGATAATTTTCAGGCCAGGCAGTATTAGGAGTTGACACTATAATGTCATAATTTGCTAAACGTGATGCTGCCCTTGTGATCTTGGTAAGTTAATCTACAACCAAGAACTTTGAGCCTTGAATTTCTTCTGTGGATCCTTTGGGTAACAGTGCTTGGAATAAGAAACATCTTTATTGAGACACTTGGCCTGGCTAGAGCATGGTGGCACATTTAGTTGAGGAGGATTGCAAGTTTAGGCCAGTCTGGCCTAGGCACTGGGATTTTAAAAATGAGGTTAAGAACCATTATGGCTCTTTTGAGTCCTGTGCTTCATGAATCAGTCCCTCATCTGGAACCTTGCAATGACTACAGAATCTTTTTTTTTTGGGATTTGAACTGAATACTATGCAATAGCTATATCACTCTTCTATACCCCCAGCCTTAAGAATCTGCATTTTAAACCAGACATGAGTGTGCATCCCACCCCTGACCCCTGCCCCTGCCATGTCCCTCATCACCTGCATGTTTATACTTCAGAGGCACTACTTGGCTGGCCCTCTTGTTGGGATGAGTGGTGCCAAACCAGGGACTTAGCAGGTTCCAGAGTTCAGATGTATATTTCAATTCTGAGTATGTTATTTTGACCACCGAGACAACTAAGTGTTTGTATCCTTTAGACCTGTGTCCATTGTCAAGGTTGGGTGAAATATCAGACATATTAGTGGGAATTTTCATGTGAAATTTTTTTTATTGAATGTTCGGAGCAGTGTTGAAGTAGGAAAGTATTACTTTCCTTCCTTTTCTGTGTGTGCAGATGAGACCTAATGCTCAGAAGTGAAGTGACTTGCCTAAAGCTCCCTGAAAGTTCAATTTGGGTGCACTGAAAATAAACGTACAGATAGATGGTACCAGAACAGTTTGGGGATGTAAACTTTTCCTGAAAATTGGGCCCTGTGTGGGGTTAACAGGTGCTTTGTATATATATATATATATATGTAGTCTATTGTGATGCCATGTGGTTCTATAATAGGGTTTGAAAACATATAGCTTGGGGTTGGAGTTGTAGCTCAGTGGTTGAGTGCTTGCCTAGTACAGGTGAGTCACTGGGTTTACTCCTTGGCACCACATAAAAAAATAAAGGTTAAATTCTTAAAAAATCTCCAAACTGTCTTCCAAAGTAGCTTCATATTTCCACAAGCAATTAATTAAAATGCCTTAAAAAAAAAAAGCCTACAGTGTGGAATGAATGTGGCTTTAATGTGGGGCAGATCTAGTTTTGAAGTCTTGCTATGCAGTTCTGTGCTGTAGGGCCCTGGGTAAATCCTGGGGCCTAAACTTCTGACCCTCCCACATTTTTCCATCTGTAAGACAGATGTTGAAGGGAGCAATAAATGTGGAGTTTGGTTTTGACAGTACTATAGATGTGTCATAGAGTCAGGACTGATGGAGGCTGTAGGTGAACCTTCTGCAGGAAAAGCCCAAGGAAAGACAGCCAGTGTTGGGTTCTACTATGGCAGGTCTGGTACAGCTAATATCAAGCTAAGGAACTGTGGGAAGTGAAAGCATGGGGTTTTAGAAAAGCAAGGTGTCAGTCTAGAAGGTTGGGAAGTCTAAGACCTAGATTGGACTGACTTGTCTGATGTCTGGGCATTGCATTACCTCAGGTGGGGCTCCAGAGAAGAACAGTCCGAAAACAGTACCTGCCCTAGCATTTTTTTTGGTGGGGGTGGGGGCAGGGGGGTTAGTGAGGCTGGAACCCAGCAGTTCTCTACCACTGAGCTACATTCCAGGTCTTTTTTTGGGGAGGTAATGGTGGGGTACTGGGGATTAAACCTCAGGGGCATTCTACCACTGAGCCACATCCCCAGCCCTATTTTGTATTTGATTTAGAGATAGTGAGGCCTTAAGCAACTCAGTGAGACCTAAGTGCTGAGGCTGGCTTTGAACTTGTGATCCTCCTGCCTCAGCCTCCCAAGCCACTGGGATTACAGGCATGTGCTACTGCATGCGGCCCCCAGTCCTTTGAAAATAAATGCCTCACCCTCAACTCCTGCCCAAATCTTTGAGGAAGGATTCCATTAGCTTTCTAAAGCTGGCCTTGAATTTGTTGTCCTGCCATTCGTTGGAGTTGCTGTATTATAGGAGTGGGCCACTAGGCACAGTGTACTCACTGCTTTTTTGGGGGTGTGTGTGTGGGGGATACATTTTAGAGACAGGGTCTCACAGCCCCTTGCTTTTTTTTTTTGCTGAGGCTGGCTTTGAACTTGCGATCCTCCTATGTTGGCCTCCTGAGCCGCTGGGGATTATGTACCACCACGCCTGGCTTTCACACTGTTTATGAAATTAAAAATAATGTGTGGCAGGTACTTTTTCCACAGGTTCTTCTATCTATCATTTATCCACTCCCATAAATAGATGGTCCCGATTTAAGATGGTTCAACTTGGGTCATTTTTCAACTTTCACTGGTGTACCCCAAAACTAGAGTTTTCCAATAAATCACATGCTTTATATAAAACAGGCTTTGTGTTAGATGAGTGCTCAACTGTAAGCGCATATTGCAGGCAGGCTATGATGTTTGACAGGTTAGGTATAGTATTTTGACTTATCTGGACATAGCCCCATTGTAAATTAAGCAGCACCTCTATAAATAAATGAAAGACTTGAGCTTTGATAACAAGCTTAAGGCCATAGCCCCAACTTGTGCAATGCCCACTCAAAAGCATCTTCACCTAAAACCTTGCTCTCCTGGCTATGGACCTCATGGCTCAGAACCCTAAGAGCAAGCTGGAGGGCAGGGTGCCCCAGGCTTCTGTGCAGTTGACACAAACTTGCTTTTTGTACACACCAGGGAAAAATAAATGACTTTATTGCATGGCCAACAAAAGGTATTCACAAGGACATGGAAGAGCAAATCTCTAAAGCAGATAAAGCACAAGGATAGATGCTTTGTGCTATAAAGCATTGCACAAATAAAAAATTATGGGGAGGAGAAAAACTGATTGCATACTAGAGTACAACTGCTATAAAAAAGGATAAATTTGAGAAGTGAAAAATGACAGCGAAATCATGTTTACATATGGACCAAAGTCAGTGATGGAACAAAGCAGATGGAAGAGTTTCAGTCCAGCAGTTAGTTGCAGTTAGTTCATACTAGGTGCTCAACAGCCACTTGGCACACTGTCTTCGGAGCAACAGCCACCAAGTGGAGATCTCATTCTCTGATTCTCTTGGGAAACTTCCCCAGCCTCTGGTGTTCCCTGGAGACCCAGAGTTTGGCACTGTACCTGAGGCTGCCCTCCATGCTGAGGCTCTTGAAGGTGGCTGGCCAGGCCTCAGGAGGCAGTGGATGAGCAGCGCTGCAGCAGCAATGTGTGGCAGTTGTCACACACTCGAACTGGCTTTGGGTAGGAGGGCAGGGCCAACTCGTTGCTGGAACAGGTGTTGCAGAATATGTGCCCACAGTTCCGGCAGTGGTGCTAGAGGAGAGGAAAAAGGTAGTCACAGACCCCTAGGGAGATGTGATCTGCATACCCACCCTAATACATTGAGGTCCCTCCCCACAGTGACACTGTCTAGCAATCCCAGTGTTATGGAGATCCTGGTTCATTCTCTGATTGCTGCATTCCAGAGTGGTGACCCAGTGTTTTTAGCCAGCCTTCCTGGGGCGTGAGGGAGTCACTCACTTTATAAAATTGTTGCCATGAACCTCTTAGGTGCTTGGGCTCCTTGAGTATGACAGACACCAGGTGGGCAGAGTGGGCATCCTCTGCTCTTCCTGGCTCTACAGACTTGTTAGACTAGACCCAGATCTTGAACCAAACCACTCACCTGGGGCCAGTCAGGCCTGCACTGTAGACAGACATGATCGAAAAGGCAGCCTCAAGAAGGGTGTCTCCAGCTCTGAACCTACTGTCCGGCACTGGCAAGGACTCTGGCTTTTCCTTTCCCAAAGGATATTAATAGGAGCAGATGTGGACATGGAACCCAAAGGTGTGTGGACGGGGTTGGTAGTGGCAGCGGGACAGGACTTGCCCTTAAATTCCCAGTGTTGCTTTGTTTGCTTTTCCATACTCAGCTTGTTTTGCTGAGGCTGCTCAAGACCCCTTGTATCCTGGACCAAAGAAGGAGGGCCTAGGAGTCTAACTAGATCCTGGAGGTGGCTATGCAAACAGGCAGATTTACCTGGGGCAAGTGCCCTGACTGGGGCCCCAGTGAGTTTTTGGTGACTTCCCGTGGATTCTGTTTTTGCCTAAATTGGCCAGACTTTGGTCCTGTTGCACACAGAAAATTTGCAATGGTGTACTTCCCTACAGCAGCTGTGTCATGAAAAGGACTGGTGATGAGGGGCCTGTACTGGCCAGGGTCCCCAAAAGTGAGGGGAGCCAGGCTGGACAGTCAGTTGCATAGATACGTTGGGGGGAGAATTGCCCATTTGCAGACCAATGAGTGTGATCACATTCTAACATCCGGTTTGACAAGGAACTAGAGAAAGGGGAATCTCAGTGGGTGACAACTCGCCCCTACATACCTTTCTCCGGGAAATGGAGAACTCTTTTTCACACTGCTTACAGTGTGTTGCTTCGTCATCTTTCAGCCAAGTATGACCCTGAGGAGAAAGAAAACCCTGGAATTCCATTTTATGTCTTGGCCTCTGATGGGAGAGAAATTACCTGTGTTTGGCTGCATCCACTGTCTCTCCCTAATCACATCTGGTTTCCTTGTGAGGCATTGCTGCTTTCCTGCCAGATGTGGCCTCATACAAGCTGTAATGTAGGGAACTGCTATGACTGCAGTTGTCATTCATGTGTTCCAGATGGTGCCTGCCCTCTCAGCCTTCTGGTCTGCCTCCCACTGGGCCTTAAAAGATTCTCTAGCATCCTGTTACTTTGAGCCTCTCCCTTGCCCTTTCAATAAATCCCTTTGGCTGACATCACCAGAGTCAGTTTCTGGTGCTTGCTTCTCTTAAGCCATGCCTGAGACACTATCCAGAGTAACTACCTGAACTAATAGAAGGAAGACGGGTAGTATCTGAGTGGGACCAGGACAGCTGGTGACATGGGTCCCTGGGGAGATGTGCAGCATGTCCTCATGAATGCCCAACCCCCACCCTCAGCCCTGGGAAGCAGCTTAGCTCAGTTGTAGAGGAGGCATCTGGGGCTTTGAAAGATGAATTTTGGAAGACTTTCTCTGGGAAAATAGGACATGTCTTTTATTCAGCCTTAGGGACTAGGGTCAGAAATGATGCACTTTTCTGGCCCTTTAGTATCTGTTGGACATAACAGCAGGCCCTTGGGGCTACCAAATGTGTGCCCAGGATGCATCCCACCTCAAAAGAGCTCAAAGTAGCTCCAGGGTCCTGTTCTATGATTTTATCCTCCCTCTAAACAGTTAAGCTGTCACTGCTGTACACTTCTACATATGGTGGGGGATATAAAGGCAGGTGTCTTATAAAAATTACAGCCAAGGAATTTTCAGTTTGTAAGGGAGGGTTGATTTTGTTTTGTTCCCTTGTGCTGGGGATGGAACTCAAGGCTTCATACACATTGAGTGTTGTATCACTAAGCCACATCCCCAGCCCTGGGGACAAAGTAAACTTATGTTACATAGAAGTTCATACTGCTGTTAGTTGCTGTGACAGTTTTTGCTTCTCACCTACTATTGTACATGGAAGTTAGATACAGCAATGTTGAGAGTCTCTGTTCTGGACACACAAAGGGTGACAGATGGAGGAGGACTGCTTTGGCACTGCTGCCAAAGCAGAATGGAGTCAGAAAAGCTCCTGCAAACAGGGGGGCTGCCCTGCTTTGAATAGCCTGCCCTGGGAGTGATGGCAAGCCTAGAAAGTTTGCCTTTGCTCCCATTCTCCACAGCTAGCACACACATGGATTCCCTGCTTGTTCCTGTTCTTAAGTGGTATGTCGCATTCTGCCTTCCCCAGAATTATCTAGAATCTTTCAGTTGTCCAGAAACAACTCAGGATTTGGTTTAAAGTTCCCGGAAGTGACATGGTGCTCTGCAATGGGGCCTATATCATGATCTCTGGTTCTTAATCTGGGGGGGAAAATTCCAGCTTTCTTCCTTCCACATTTTCCTTCCTCTGGGGTACCTGTCATCTAGGCCTATTTTAAAGGTACAGCTGATGGCACAGGAACTGCAATCAGAAGATCTAGGTTCCAGCTCACACTTGTCCACTTGTTAGTCATTGCCACTGTCAAGTGACATGAAACTCTTGTCTTCACCTCCACTGCCTCAACCACGTTCTCATCTGATTGGGGAACACATAAATGCACATACTCATGGCAATGAGTACTGATTCTTATGCTAATAACATAATCTAATACCTTAAGTGCCTTATTTACTTCTTTTATGTCTTCCATCTTCAGCTTGGACCTGGAGGGCAAAAAAGAGATAATTTTGTAGCAATGAGAGGTTCTAGAATTTTAACAAAACTGCAGTGACTGTGGGCTCTGTGAAAACACTAGGACTAAGAAGTGTCATCCCAGACACTTCATCACACTGGCTTATGTGTAAATAAAATGAAACACTCTTTTCAGGCTGAGCTTGGAATCAAATCTGGGCCAAGAACAGACTGTAGCCTGCAAGGATTTGAAAAGATTTTAAAGTGGTTCCAATCATTTAAAAATTGATAATGATCTCATAGAAGCCCAGGTTTCTGGCTTCTTTGGATCTGTGACGTGCTTGCAGTAGGGAAAGGCTTGGTTTCTCTCAATTCTCCCTGGCCAGTATTCCAAGAGGCAGGCTCAAAAGGCATGGTCTTGTTTGTTTTGGAACTGAGGATTTAATTCAAGGGCACTTAACCATTGAGCTATACCTCTGGCCTCTTTTTTTTTTTTTAATTTTGAGACAGGAGGGCTGGGGAGATAGCTTGGTTGGTAGATTGCTTGTCCAACATTAACAAGGCCCTGGATTCAATCCCCAGCACCCCCCACCCCCAACACACACCAAAAAAAAAAAAAATTGAGACAGGGTCTCCAAGTTGTCCAGGCCAGCCTTGAACTTGCAGTCCTCCTACTTTGGCCTCCCAAGTTGCTGGAATTACAGGCTTGTAAATGACCACACTTGGCTGGTCATTTGTTCTTGCTTCATTCATTCTCCACTCTGTTGTTAGGAATAATTATTTAGTTGTTCACATAAGAGACAGGACTGAACATGGTCTAAATTGGCAGAACTAAATCAAATAAAATCAAACTATGCATTTGCAGTTTGGGGGAAGTCTGAGCCTTTCTTAAAAGCTGAGATCAATCTAAATTGACATTAGATTAGGGGCTGGGATGTGGCTCAAGCGGTAGCCACATCGATCCTCAGCACCACATACAAAGATGTTGTCCACCGAAAACTAAAAATAAATAAATATTAAAATTTTCTCTCTCTCTCTCTCTCCTAAAAAATAAATAAATAAATTGACATTAGATTAGACTGTCAAAATGGCAGGTCTCTGGGGGAAACAGGCCAGATTGCTAAATGAGGGATTAGAAAATAGCATCAGGCATTCACTACTGATCCTGCAGACAGCTCCTTCCCTCCCCTATTCAGTTGCAGAAATAGGCCAGCACGCTGACAGGATCAGAGACCGAGACAGTCCAGATGGACAGGCTTTGGCAAATTAGGTCATGATGGCAGTCTGAACACACAAGAATTCTGGAAAACACAACTCAGGAAGCACCCAAAAGTCGCCAAGATACAGGAACTTTCTTAGCTGGTAATGGGGTCTGAGAACAGGTTTTTCCTCTTCTGGCACCTGGTACTGGCTTGCAGGAGGGAGAAAGAACAAGGGGAGACAGCATGAAAGCAACTCCTGAGATGGTCCTGTCTGGGTTGCACATGCCTGACCTTGCAAAAGCTACAGAACTCAGCTGTGAGCAGCATGGTGACTGGGACATTTCCAAGATCAAAGGCCACTGACATTTTTGAGGTCTCTGGCTCATTAGAAGGGTAAATTCTAGCTGTGCCTTGAGTTTGTCCAGTGTGAGAGGACAGGTAGGAGGAAGCATGGTGCACGCTCCTGGCTGCAAACCCAAGTGGCCTGCTCTGGCCATCCCCAAGTTCCAAGTCTGCTTCTGGTGAGTGTTCCTGAGGTGCCTGAAGAACTGGCCTGTGATTGGAAAACAAGGAAAGACATTTGGCTCTGCCATTTCTCAAGGAACTGCCCCCAGTGGGGCAGAGGCCAGAGCAAGATGATTACCCAGCCAGCTGAGAGCATTGCAGGACACTCAGCCCCAGAAGATGGCAGGGATGAGGGTAGGAGGGGGCTAAGCAGCAGCCCTAAGCTTGTCTAAGCCCACACTCACAGACGGTGGGTGAGGATGGAGAATAGGCAGCATCTTCATCTGCATGTAGGAATATACAGAATATGTTCCCACCAGACCTGTCTTTTATTTTTATTTTTTACTATACTGGTGAATAAAACCAAGGGCACTCTACTACTAAGTTACATTCCTGTCCTCTTGTATTTTTTAAATTTTGAGATGAGGTCTTGCTAAGTTGCTGAAGCTAGCCTTGAACTTGTAATCCTGTTTTGGCCCCCTGAGCAGCTGGGAATACAAGTGTGTGCCACCATGCCTCTTATTTTTCTTAAAAAATGGAAGACCTTTGCTGGGCACATGCCTGTAATCCCAATGGCTTGGGAGGCTGAGATAGGAGGATTGCGAGTTCAAAGACAGCCTCAGCAATGGTGAGGCGCTAAGCAACCAGTAAGACTTTTTGTCTCTAAATAAAATACAAAATAGGGCTGGGAATGTGGCTCAGTTGTTGAGTGCCCCTGAGTTCAATCCCTGGTACCAAAAAAAAAAAAAAAAAAAAAGAAAAAAGACCTTTGACCTTTCTATACTGAGAAGAAAAAAATTCCAAGTTTGTACACACCCACATGCAACATGAGTGTTTCTAGCTTATTCTAATTTTCGTTCCCATCCATGGACCTGTGATGGCCACATAACACCTCAGCCCAAGCTATGCTGGTTACCAGGCCCCTATCTCTATGGTCATGGCACTTGTGTTAAGTGATAGTCCAAGACTTTGGAGAGCAGAAAGTAAACTCCTCAGGTCTCTGGGAGCTATGCAGAAAGAGGAACTTCCTCTGATAAGTGGTCCCACTGGGTACCATCTTGCCCCTGTGGGGGCTAGACACACCCGTGAGGTATATAATAGGACAGCAGAGGTAGGAGGTAGACTGGCTCCTGATTTTTTTTTTTTTAAGCCAGTTTGAGTTGGATTTCTATCACTTGCAACCAAGACAGACTTAACCCATAAGAAGAAATATCTTATCTATCCACTCTTTGAAAATTGAATTATTGTAGAAATGGACAAGGTCTAAAATCTGCAGTGTGACCTATTTCCAGGGCCATGTGTGCAGAGCAATCTCTCCAGACTGGGACACTGGGACACTGTGTAACCCTGTCAAGGCTACCAGGGTCTGTGCACCATCAGAACCTGGCAGAAAAGAGCCTCTGGTGGATCCAAGTGTCAACTCCCAGAAAAGGCAGGTGGGCAGGGCTGGCCAGTGTGCTGGCTGCATGGCAGTCTTTCTTAAACCACCTCTGTTCACTCTGGCCTGACTGTAAGTTGACCCAGCATCATCCTTAGGATCTAGATGTTAAGTTTGTGAACATGAGTATTCTGGTCAATAGAAAAGAATATTCACAATAAATTAATCAATAGCTGATTAAAATTCCCATAGTTGATATCAGGGCTTGATTCCCTAGAGGCCTGACTTCCTAGGAGGTCACCCTTGAAAGCAGACAGGCCTCCTGAATAGCCCTGCCTCCTCCTAACAACAGGAAATAGGTTTGGGTGAGGTGGGCAGACTGGACTTGTGTGATACTTCTAATGGAGAGGCTACAGCAAGCCTGCTAGACCCAGCCCTGCGCACCAGGGGAAGGTGGGGGAATCAGGATTCTTACTGGCTGAGGTGCAGTCCCATTTCCTGGAGGGCTTGTTCTTGCTCATCACAGACCTTCTGTAACTCTACCTTCTCCTCTTGGAGTTCTCGCAGCTCCTAAAATGGATAAGCCAGGTCTGATATAGAATCACATTGTCACTGCACACCACTTAAGATTTAGTAGCCAGATCAACAAGAAGATCAGATTTTTTTTTTTTTTTTTTGGGTGCCTGGAGATTGTACCCAGGCTTTTGTGCTAAGTAAGTACTCCACCACTGAGCTACACCAACAGCCCTTTTCACTTTATTTTGAGACAGGGTCTTGCTAAGTTGCCCAGGCTGGCTTTGAACTTGCGATCCCGCTGCCTCGACCTCTGCAGTAGCTGAAATTACAGATGTGTGCCACCACATGTGGCTATATCAGAAAATCTTGCAAGAGCAAAATGTCGTTTGTTGCATTATTGTCATTTAAGACATTAGTGGATTATTTTTCACCCGCTTATTAAGAATGGGAAGCTGAAAAGTGAGTGCTATTGTAGGGGCTCTCAGCTGGGGACAGGGACATGGGACAGAGAATAACCACATTAAAAACAGTTATCCTTACAAGGCAAGTAAGGCTTTGCCTGGACTTCTATTAAAGACAGACATTTTTATTTGTTTATTTGGTGGTGCTGGGTATTGAACCCAGGACCTTGTGCATGCGAGGCAAGCACTCTACCAACTGAGGTATATCCCCAGCCGGAGACAGATATTTTTTAAAAGCAGCTATTTTAAAAAGTATATAGATGAGTCTTATACAAAACTATATGAAGGTGCTGGGTGCAGTGGTTATATACCTGTAATGCCAGCAGCTTGAGGCTGAGGTAGAATACCAAGTTTGAGTCCACTTAAGACTGTATGAAAAGCTATGTGAGGGAGGGAAGCTCAATGGAGGACACAGACTGTGATCTGGGACCAGCACACCTGGCAGGGCCAGAATGGAGACACAGGGTTTTCGGGCTGATGGGAACAACAATGAGACTTAGACCAAGCAGTGAGCAGCTTCCCCAGACATGCCCCCCTGTACCTTGGGAACCTACAACCTATCAAGGGCTCAAAGGCATCCTGAGGCTTATTGGTGATGTCAGACACATTGTTTCTTTTGTTGGGGGATGGGTGGAGGAGGTATTTCAAATACAGACCAAAATATTTTGAGGAGGAATAGAGGAATATGTTCTGTGATGCAGCATAACTTTCTAAAGGTCCCCTCTTGTCCTCTACTTCCTCCCTCATCCCCTCTGAGTCCTGCAGAACCTTTCCCTTCTGCAGCAACTTAAGACACTTTCTAACGGCAACCAAGAGAACCTCTTGGCTCTAACTGCATAGCAGTATCTACTACCTCATCAATGCACAAAACCTAGGTCTGGAAGCTGTGTTGGTGACAACGGACCCTTGTGACTGGAAGGTATGGTGAAGGCAGTGCACTTTTTTGGCTCAATCCTGCTTGGGAACCTGTTGTATGACCCCCCCAACAAGGGAAGACCTCTGCAAGTCACAGTACACCAGGCTGGAACTAACTTTATCCAGAATGGTAGAAACTTCTGGGAAGCTGGCTGACTATATTAGGGAAAACATTTTCAGATTACCTCGTAGTTTCCTGAGAGGTGTCCAATTCTATAACCAGGCAGTGATGCCGTACTAGCACCCCCTCTTCTCTTGCTCACTGAAGCCTCAGGATCCAGGACATATCTTCAAACAAGTTGGGGCCTCCAGAGGACAGAGGTGATACCAGGGAAAATGTATGCCTCAGGTTTTCCCTAGGGCTTATTTTGGGCTCTGGTTCAGTCTGCTTCCTAGAGATGACCTGACTCTGGACAGAGTGGCTGGCCAACCTCTGGAGTGAAAGTATAGACTGGCATATGTTCAAAAATATTGAACTCTCCTACAATACTCTAGTTTTCTTTCTGCAAATCTGCCACTGGCTCTCCACCAGTAGATGGTGATTGCTCTCAAATGAAATGGACTGCTGGCCTGAAAGGTACCCTGCCAAGTCTCCTGGGCTGTCTTTGCTCATTATTCAAGCCTCTGCTTGTCAGTTTTTCTCTTCCCAGATCCTCTGCCTCACTGTGAGGAAACCCTCCTGTTTTATTCTTTTCATAGCACTTAACATTCTCTGAGTTTATTTGGTTGGTGGCTTATTGACTTATGATTTGTCTGTACCTTTTCCTCAGATGCTTTGCTGGGTTGGGAACAGCAAAAACAAACCCTGGAACAGGGCCTGGCTCCCACACAAAGGGCACATGGAGGAGTAGGCAGGAGCATCTCTTTAGCAGAGGAGCATGGCGACTGCTGGATGCTCTTTTTCTCTCAAGGAAATTTCACCTTACCTTCTTTAATCCTTCTACTTGCTGTAGTTCTGTTCGGAGCAGAGAGGAGGTGTCTTTTTCATGCTGTAATTCTCGCTGAAGAGCTTGTCTTTGCTCTTTTTCTGATTTCAACTCTTTCTCTAGACTTGAACTGTTTTCCCAAAACAAAACCAGTTAGTCTCAATGGAGGTTTTTCATAGAAGATTCACAATTCACTCCACAGGGAAGGGAGTACCACCTGAATTTCCACAGGGGCATCTAAGCCCTTCAACAAGGTAGTGAAGTCAGGTTTCCTTTTCCCTAAGGGTCACCTGCACTTCCATAAGGACTAGGAATGCTAGTATTCACACCACACGAGTGAATACTCTTCCTGAGATAGAGACCTGAGGGTCAAGAAAATTCAGTATTTATTCTGCTTATGATAGCCTATAGACAGCCAAGAATATGGGAGGAAGGAAGCAGAAGAAGGTGATCAAGGTCAGAGATGACATTCCACTTAAATCCTGACTCTTCTCTCTCACCAGTTGAGTGGTCCTGGGTGGGGTCCCTGGAATCTGCTTCTAATATCGTTCGTCACATGGGGAAGAGCTATGTCTTTTCTCTCATTATTGTTTTTACACTTAGCATATATGATCTCATCCTAATCCTACATTTGCTGGGTAAACTCTGGGGTAGAACACTATTGGTTCCCAATTCTTCCTGGAGATGAGAAAAAAGATTGGAAGCCACCTTCCCAGTCCTCCCCAGCATGCTTCTGCCTACCATAGCTCTTTCCTACCATTGCTCGTGAAGTTGTGACAGCTGCAGCTGCAAGGCGCTGACCCTCCCGCCGAGCTCCTGCTGCAGCTTGTGGCTCCGCTCCTCTGCCCCCTGTCTTGCCCTTTCAGAATGCTGTAACCTAGAGGCAAGCACACGCATGGACTCCATCTTTGTAAGGAAAGGGTCATCTCAGGTTAAGGTACAATTATCACTGGCTTGAATATTTCCTTTTTTTTTTAATGAGTCAGTCTTGCTATGTTACCCAGGCTGGTACTGAACTCTTGGGTTAATGCAGTCCTTCAGCCTTCTGAATAGTTTTTTTTTTTTTTTTTTCCCTCTCTCTCTCTCTCTGTGCATGTTAGTGTTACAGAAAATTGAGTTCAGGGCTTCAAGTATGCCAGGCAAGTGCCTTATCACTAAGCTACACCCCCAGCCCAGTGAATTTTTTCTTTTAAACACCCCCAGCCCAGTGAATTTTTTCTTTTAAAACTAATTTACAGTCTAACTGACTTGTGTGTGTATATGTAGAGTCTTAGCACCTGTATAGCAAGACACAGATACTCCACAACCAAGATACACAACAGTTATATCACTCCAAAACCCTAGTTTTGTCCCACTGTAATCACACCCTCTCTCCATCCCAAACTTGTGGCAACCACTCATCTGTTCTGGGACACTATGGCATTACTTTTTTGAGAATGATATAAATGGAATTATACTTTATGGAACTTTTTAAGACTGGTTTCTTTTTCTTGGAACAATATCTTTGAGATCGACAAAATTTTTTGTGTCAGTGATTTATTCCTTTTAATTGCTGAGTTATATTTCATTGTATAATTGTACCAGTTTGTTTATCTACTCATCCAATGAAGGACACTGGGATTGGTTCTAGTTTTTGACAATATGAATAGAGCTGCTGTAAATATTTGTGTAGTGGTTTTTGTATGGATATAAGTTTCATTTCTCTTTCGAATATGTCTAGGAGCACAATTATTGGGTCATGTGATAAAGATATTAGTTTTTTTTTGTGGGGGGCGGGTACTAGGGATTGAACTCAGGGGTACTCAACCACTGAGCCACATCCCCAGCCTTTTTTTTTTTTTTGTATTTTATTTAGAGACAGGTTCACACTGAGTTGCTTAGTGCCTCGCTCTTGGTGAGGCTGGCTTTGAACTTGAGATCCTCCTGCCTTAGCTTCCAGAGCCACTGGGATTACAGCTGTGAGCCACCGTATGGCACAGATGTTTAGTCTATTTTCCAAAGTGGTTGTGCCACTTTGTGTCCCATTAATTATGTATGAGAATTCCAACTGCTCTGTGTCCTCATCAGCACTTGGTACTGTCATTTAAAAAAAAAAAAAAAAAAAATTAGCTGGGTATGGTACTACTTTCTTATAGTCCCAGGTACTCAGGAGGCTGAGGTGGGAGGATCACTTAAGGACATTCTGGACAACATAGTGAGACCTGGTTTCAAAAAAGAAAAAACAAAACAAAACAAAAAAAACTAGCTGTTCTGATAGATATGTGGGATCTCATCATTTTACTGTTTATTTCTCTAATGGCTATTGATACTGAATATCTTTTCATGTACTTATGTTCTGTTCGTATGTCCTCTGGTGAATATCTGTTTAAAACTTTTGCCCATTTTTTTTTTTTTTTTTAGTTGTATTGGACACAATACCTTTATTTTATTTATTTATTTTTATGTGGTGCTGAGAATCGAACCCAGGGCCTTGCATGTGCTAAGTGAACATTCCACCACTGAGCCACAACCCCAGCCCCACTTCTGCCCATTTTTAAATCAGATTGTTTGCTTGAGTTTTTAAGAGTTCTTTATAAATTCTGGATACAAGTTCTTTGTCATATGTGATCTGTAAATTTTCTCCAAATTTACATCTCGCCTTTTTATTCTCCTATGTCTTTCACAGAATGAAAGTTTAAAATTTTGATAGTCTAATTTATCAAGTTTTTCTCCTATGAATTATGCTTTTATGCTACACCTGCAAAAAAGATCTCTTTACCTACCCTAACATTATGAAGATTTTTTATGTTTTATTCTAAAAGTTTTATAGTTTTTAGTTTTACACTGAAATTTATGATCCATTTTCAGTTAACTGTTATAGACACATGAGGTGTAGACTGAGGTTCCTTGCTTTGCGTATGGGTATCAATTGTTCCAATATCATTTACTGAAAAGACTCTCCTTTCTGTACTTGTACTCTCACTTTTGTTGGGCAAGATTATGAGTCTGGAAAAGGGAAGTCACCTCAACTTGTCTGTACTCCTAAGAGGCACTATGAGTAGGTCTCTAGGCCCCCAAAATGCCTAGCATGTTCTAGGGATGGACTGTCTGCCAGGGGAAGTGATTACCTTTCTTCCATTTGTTTCATGCTAGACATAACTTGATTTGTTTTTCCTTCATAAGATGTGATGGCTTCATTCTTCTGTTGTAAACTGCTCTCTGCATTCTAAAAAAGCAAGGAAAAGGGTTCACATTGCTGCCCACCTTTCCCCCTATGTCTGTTCCACATTATAAATAGGGTCTAAATGTTAACCTTGCATGTTTTAACACTTTCAAGAATACTGCATTAATTGCTGCTCTTCCCTAGATCCTTGGAAGACAAATTAGGTCAAGGTTCTTAGCTCTGCTAACAGGAAGAAGAGCAAAGAGGGAGGTACTGGAATCTGCCCCTCCATAGCTAGAGCAGACTCAAAGTGTTCCTGAGCTGTCCCCTGTGCCAGGAAAATCTGCCAATTCATCTGACACCTCCTTTCAGCTGTCTCAAGGGAGGCAATGATAGTCCCATTTCTCCCATTACAAGAGGGACGCTTAGAAAGAAAAAGCAAGTAGCTGAAGGTTAGGGGGCACATGAGGAGTGAGGCTGGGTTTACTCCCACACCTGTATGACTTTCTCAGTTTAGGCTTTTAATCACAACACATTACAAGTAACCAGGAGGGGGCACTCTTTTATGTTTACAAGTGACACCTTGAAAATAAAAGGACACAGACAGGCTGAAGAGACATTAGTCCTAATAAATTCCTGAATAACATCCAGCCTATACTCTCTGACCGCCTACTCAGAAGGCTGAGGCAGGAGAATCCCAAGTTTGAGGCTAGCCTCAGCAACTTAGCAAGACCCAGTCTCATATTAAAATTTAAAAGGGCTGGGGATGTGTAGCTCAGAGGCAGAATGCTCCAGGGTTCAATCCCCAATACTACAATAAAACAAAACAAAATTAAAATAAAATAAACACTATGTGGTATTTCTTTTTTAAAAATTTTTTATTAATTTTTGATGGACCTTTATTTATTTATTTGTTTATATGTGGTGCTGAGAATTGAACTCAGTGCCTCACGCATGCTAGGCAAGTGCTCTACTACTGAGCCACAACCCCAGCCCATTATGTGGTATTTCACTACACTGAAGACACATCATCATTTTTAAGTGCTGTGAAAAGAAAGAAAAACAAACAAACAAACAAACTGAAACACGACATGCCATTGACTGTAAGAAGCATCTTGATTTCAGGGATACCAAAATGTGAAAAATGTGCCTTGTGGATGATGAAGTACTTCTGTCAAATATGAGAGGCACAGTTAATTTTATTTTCGTGTGTTATGGTGCTGGGGATAGACCCCCAGGGCCTCTTAGATTTCTAGGCAAGTGCTCTACCACTAAGCTCCTCTCCTAGCCCCCTAGAGTAGTTCTTGTGGCTAATTTCAAACTTTAGTAAGTGTTTTTTAATGAAATAAAGACAAAACAAACGAGCATCATTTCAAAAGTTGAAAATGAGTTATAGTGCAAACCTGCAAAATGAGAAAGCAGAATATAATGAAGGAGAGGGTGGTCTGTTTTTTTCTCACAGCACGTTTTTTTTTTTTCCTTGGTACCAGGTGGTTGAACCCAGGGGCATTAAACCACTGAGCCATCTCCCCAGCCTGCTTTATATTTTATTTAGAGACAGGGTCTCACTATGTTGCTCAGAGCCTCACTAAGTTGATTGAACCCAGTGCCTCACTCATGCTAGGCAAGTGCTCTACCACTGAGCCACAACCCCAGCTCACTATGTGGTATTTCACTACACTGAAGACACATCATCATTTTAAGTGCTGTGGGGGAAAAAAACAAAAAACAAAAAAACTGAAACACATCATGCCACTGACTATAAGAGGCATCTTGATTTCAGGGATGCCAAATTGTGAAAATGGTTGGCTTTGATCTCATAATCCGCCTGCCTCAGCCTCCTCAGCTGCTGGTTATTACAGGCTTGCGCCACCATGCCTGGCTCTCACAACAGACTGACATGAAATGTATGGGTATTCCCATACCAACAACCCATGCTGACAACAAATGGTATCCTACAGTTCAATTCAATTCTGATACTAATTATGCAGAGTTAGTACCCACAGGTGGAAAAGTCCCCAAAAGACTGCCCTTACTTCCAACACTAGTGGGTCCCATTGCTGATATCCACATTTAATTCTATTGATACTGTTGATGAGTATGAGAAGGTGCTATGGGCACACAGACAAGCATGCAGGAGAATGCTGTGTGAAGAAGACAGCAGAGATGGGGGTGATGATTACCAAGAAAGGAATGCCAGGGTTGCCAGGAACCAGCAAAAGCTAAGAAAGGGGAATGGGAAAGATGCTTCCTTATAGCTTCCAAAATACTAACTCTGCTGACACCCTGATCTTAGACCTCTAGTCTTCAGGATCCCGAAACAGGAAATTTCTCTTAAGCCATCAGTTTTTGGTTCTTTGTTACAATACCCCTGGCAAACTAACACAATCTACTATCAAAACATACTGTAAAGCTATGGTTATTCAGACAATAACCATCAAACAGAATAGAAATGTCAGAGACAGCTGGGTGTAGTGAGTGGCCCATGCCAATAATCCCAGGGACTCAGGAGATTAAAGCAAGAGGATCTCAAGTTCAAGGCCAGCCCGAGCAACTTACTGAGACCCTGTCTCAAAATAAAAAATAAAAAAGTATTTGGGATATAGCTCAGTGGTAAACTGGGCTTAATCCCTAGTACTGAAGGGGGAAAAACTCTCCAAGAGGTATTTAATATTATCACGTGCCTCAAAATGAGGAATATGATGAATTCAACTGTGTACATTTGAAGCCTAAAGTGGAAAGGGTCTGAAGTGAAAATAAGTGGATACAATTTTAAGAGGAACAGAGAGTAACTTGGATCACAGTGCTGCCATAATAAAAGTCTAACATATGTGCAAGTGACTCAGCAGATGGGTTAGCGTTGCCAAAGCAGAAGCAACAAACCAGAAAGCTGGGGATCCTTGTTAGTTATGGCAAAGCAGTTAGTAAAACTATCACTCACCTAAACTTGGAAAACAAAGCACTTGTCAACTATGCTGGTGCTCCAGGAGAAGTGGCTGAGAAGAGCCAGAATGTTAATACGTGTTGGCTATCCTTGCTATCTGGGCAAGGTGCTGGGAATAGGGAAGAGCCCAAAGAGTTGAGGTTTGTAAAGCCAGCTGTTCTGGACCTTACAATATATGAGATAAGACTAAAAACTGAGTAATAAAGGCTCTATAAAACTTCTCACATGGAGCCAGGCACAGTGGCACATGCCTGTAATCCCAGCCACTCGGGAGGCTGAGGCAGTAGGATCCCGAGTTCAAAGCTAACCTCAGCAAAAGCGAGGTGCTAAGCAAATCAGTGAGACCCTGTCTCTAAATAAAATATAAAATAAGGCTGGGGATGTGGCTCAGTGGTGGAGTGCCCCTGAGTTCAATCCCCAGTATCCACCTCCATCGACCCCCCAAAAAACTTCCCACACGGTACAGGGATACAGTTCAGTGGCAAATTACTTGCCTAGTATGCATTAGGCCCTGGTTTTAATTCCCGGCACTAAAACAAAATTCTCAAGCAGCAAAACTCAGATCAAATTTCGTTTTCTCACACCTAAAACTATTGTTTTGGATTATCTGCTGTTAATAGGACGGAGAGAGAGAGACACACACACAAAACAGACATTCATAGAGCAATGACACAGGTATGAGAACTGTATTCAATGAACTCTGCTCACTGACAGACCAGAAGTGATGAATGAGGCCACTGTACTGTCAAAGGAGCCATGAGTCTGGTCTGAAAATTTCTTGTGGCTGTTTGGTTCCTATTACAATTGCCATGCTGGCAAAGTGACACCAGCAAAAAGCTGGCCATCAAACCTGCTTTTTGTCTGTGGACATGGTCTCTTGACTCCCCCTTGAATATTACTGAGGAAGATGGTGGACTTTAGGTAATATAGAAGCTCTTTCAGAAGGCAGTACCATAGAAGCAAGAAATGCTAAGAAACAGCCTACCATTAGGTGCCACAGCCTTTACAGTTCCTGCCCAGAGGGCATAAGCAACTACTTATGGGCCAGCAACTGCCTACCATGTTTCCCTTTTCCAAATGGGTGCTTCTGTTGGGTGCATCTTTGTACCATCCTGTACTAATATGATGGGCTATTGTGAGAAACAACTGTCTTTCAGCTCCAGGGTACATGGGCTGTTGGAAAGTGCTAACCATTAGCCAGGGCCTACAGTTTTGGAGGAGGAACCAGATGGGACTTCAATAGCAGTTCCTATAGGGATGGCTATCATACAGACAATTGTGTCTACCCACAAATATTCTCCCCTTTATCAGGCCTGTGGCCCAGGAAAGATGACTCTCTCAGAATCCCCTTGAAGCCAAGTGTGGCCTTGGTGACTAACTCTTTCCCATAGAACTGACTGGAAGTGATGTGTGCAACCTGTATCTCACTGCTAGACAGGAAATCCTTGGCCCTGGACTTTTGTTCTTCTCCACCCTTCTTATTGCAGGAACGGTAACAACTAGAGTAGCCTGGAAAGCTTAAAGTGCATTAGCCTAGGCCCCTAAATGACTGTGGAGAGTATATATGCTAGTCTAAAATGGTCACTTGGAACTCTTCTGTCACATAAATACATACTTCCATATTTATAAGCTATTCTATTTTAGAGTTTACTAAATTATTATAGTGGTTTTCCCCTAACACACAACACTAACTAAATTTGTTTCTCTATGGTCTCAAAACAGAAGAAAACATGAAAAAAAATTAAAATAGATCATTTGTAAAAAGGATAAAATTATTTTTCTCCTTTATTATTTCATCTTACATAACAGTTTTTATTTATTTATCGTGGTGCTGGGGATTGAACCTAGGGCCTTGTGCATGCGAGGCAAGCACTCTACCAACTGAGCTATCCCCAGCCCTTAACAGTCCCCCCCCCCCCCCCGCAAAGGCAGAAGAAATTAGTTTTTTAGTACTGTCTGCTCTCACATTATCTGTGACATAGATATTACTGGAAGTGAGGGTCAAACTATGTCCATGGAAAATGAAGTATGTCTATTTTGGCAATAAAATAGGAACCAGAACTTTTAAAAAAAAGTTTTAGGACACAGAATGGTACCCTTGTGGATGGCTTCTGGGAAAAACCTATATAATTTTTAGATGCTATTTTTCAAACTCTGATTGATTCTTTCTGGCATAGTTCCCTTTGATCACTCTGAAGTGACATAAGAGAAGTAAGCAACTAGCTGTGTGACCCACAGGCTCAGCAACAATAACCTCATGGCAAAGTTTGGAGAAGATAACACTAAATGCTATCCTTAATTCCTTTCTCCATCTCTTAGTGCATACAATGAATCACTGAAATAGAAGTAAACAGCTAGGAGACACTGATAAAGTTTGGCTTGCATTAAAAAGATATCATGCTTTAGTTGTGCCAGCAGGGTTATGTGATTTAGCCGCTTAGTTCTGCCCTGTCATTTCCATTCTCCTCATTTCACAAGGACTGCTGTCAGACTCAAATAAAATAAATGTAGTACCACAAAAGGGCCAAGGACCAGGTCCGAAACATACTGGGCACTCACAGATATGTATATGCCCATTCTGCAGGAAGAATGATGTAAGACTGAAAGGGAGCACATGGAAAGCAGCAGGAAACCAGATTATGATATAGACCCAAAGCCAATTCCCACCTGAACTTTGTGAAACATCTGTAAGTTAATTGCTTTGACTTCTTCCAGCTGTTGGCGTAGGGCAACAAGTGTGTCCTGCTTCTCGTGGGTATCCTTTTCCAGTAGCTTCATGGCGATTTCCATTTCCATTTTCATTCCAATTTGTAACTCCAGCTCTTTTTCTAGTTCCTTTAAAGGATATTTACAAGAAAAATGCAATTAAAGTAGATAACAAAAATATATTTAACTGGGGTAGTATCTTGGGCAATGACTAAAAGACAAATTACAAATCAGAACAGGTTTGAGAAAAGTCTGTCTGGAGGTTAAGTTTCTCCCCTTTTCCTCATCATATAATTAAATTTGGCTTTACATTAAATCAATAGAAAGCTGACTTGGCAATAAGAGCCTACGGTTCTAGCAACCAAGTTCTCCGAACCCAGAGAATTAGAATCCATAATCTAAAATGTGTCTTGTGCTTGCATGCTAGAAGGGATCTGATGTTGCAATGTTACAATCTCTGGAATGATTTGCTACTTTATGGCAAAAAACATACAACCACTTTAAAAATTTCTTTCTTTCTTCTTCTTCTTTTTTTTTTTTTTGCTGGGGCTGGGATTGAACCTATTGTATGCTAACGATTTTGAAATGGTTCTTTTCATCCTGAATAACTTAGGCTACTTTGCCCCACATTCATTCAAGGAAGCAAATAAGTAAAGCTAGCTACAAATTGGGTTTAAAAAAGCAACTGAAGTCCTAAAAAATAGAAAATGTAATTTTAAACTATTCCAATAAAGCTAAATGAGGAAGGAGGGAAAAACTGGGCTTGATAGGGAATGTAGTGGCAAAAATCCCAGCAACTCTGGGAGGCTGAAGTAGGAGGATTTCAAGTTTAAGGCCAGCCCCTGCAACTTAGCAAGATCCTATCTCCAAAAAAGAAAAGGGGTGGGGAGAGGGGGGAGTCAGGAATGTAGATCATTGGTGAAGTGCTGCTGGGTTTGATTCCCAGTACCAAAAAGAAGAAGAAAAATGTGTTTAATAAAGAACTTGCGCCACTGACAGACAGATAAATGGAAATAATAGCCTAAGAGTGTGGAGAGCACGGACTGAGAATGGAAGTGCCAGGTCTGAGACTGGGGTTGCTTGATGCTTGGTGCCTGGTAAAGTTTCTGTGCAAAGGTGCAGGATGCCTACCTGTTGTGGTAATGCCCTCCATGAGGAGGCTCTGTACTAGAGTCTTATCAGCATTAACCTTGATGTCAGGCACACAATTCCTGGAATAGAGGAACTCTCTTGCTAGACAACCACAATGTTTCACCAAGCTCCCCTGCTCCTGAACCTACCCTCATAATAGTAACTTAAACAATGGACTTTCTTGAGAGCTACACAAAGCTGCATATTGCACATTGCAACTGTAGAATGTAACTGCGCAATTAGTTGTATAATGTTGCCAACTCTGTAACTTTCATGAATACAAAGAATAATGCTTGAATAGTCTTCATCTGATAATGAGACATATATAAATAAAGATTGCTGGTGTAATTCTTTAGACTTGCTTCTCCATTAGAGAGCAGCGCTCCACATGACCCCAGCTGTTATCTTCAAAATCTGAGTCTGTGAGTCTTTATTTTTCTTATCCCCCTTTGCCCCTCACTGGAACCTGCCAGACTGGCTACACTGGTCATGGCATAAGAGAATGGTATTGTCAAAGAAATCGTGAGTCTAGTCTCCTAGCAACCTCTAAAAAATGTTTATAAAATGGGAACAAAATATAAATGACAATGCAGAATTTCATTAGGATTTTTTAAAAAACTAACAACTTATTTTATTTTATTTTATTTTTTGTACCAGGGATTGAACTCAGGGACATCTGATCACTGAGCCACATCCCCAACTCTCAAACTAACAACTTCCTATGAGTGGCATCAGGTTTTAGCACACACGTGAAAAGGGCTGGTTGTGTTGGTGCAAGCCTGTAATTCCAGCGGTTCGGGTGGCTGAGGCAGGAGGATCACGAGCAAAAGCTCGTGAAACCCTGTCTCTAAATAAAATACAAAATAGGGGTGGGGATGTGGCTCAGAGATCAGGTGCCCTTGAGTTCAATCCCTGGTACCCGTCCTGGCAAAAAAAAAAAAAAAAAAGCGTGTAGACAGAAGGGTTGGAGTCATGGCTCAGCTTGCCTAGCATGTGTGAAGCACTGGGTTCAATTCTCAGCACCACATATAAATAAATAAAATGAAGGTATTATGTCCATCTATAACTTAAAAAAAAAAAAAAAGGAATAGAGGGATTTAACTTGGAGAGCTACAGAGAAATTCTTCCTAAGGATGCCCAGTCTTGCATACTTACCAGTCGAACTTTCTTCTCCTCCTTTAGCTGCTTCCATACATCACTGTACATTTCATCCAGTCCTTGCCGGGTCTGCTTGTAAGTCTCCAGCTCAACTTTGGTGTCCTGTTTTGTTATCTATAGCAATCAAGAACACCAAGAGGAATGGTTTGCTTATGGTAAACAAAGTAGCTACAGAGTATTTAAACTTTGAAAATATGTAGGACAATTTCTGCTTTCTTTGCATGATAAAGGTGAAATCTATAAAGGTATTAGAATTTGAAGATAAAGAATGAGAGTAGCCAATAAATTTTTTAAAAAGTTGGGCTCAAATAGCAAATTTATATTTAATTTTCTTTAAAACAGTACAAGAGACCCTAGCAGGAAAGGCTTTTATCCAATCTATCATTCAGTATTTATTGACTTTTTTTTTTTTGCACTGGGTGGATTTAGTGGTGAATCTGATAGGGTTTCTACCCTTAAAATTGTCAGGTGAGACAGCTGCAAGCTGGCAATTTTACAAAATAATACGTGGATTCTATGATGGAGGATGTATAAAGAACTATGGGAATATGGGAGAAGGGTATAAGCCCATCTGTGGGTATCATGGATGGCATTACAGAAGACTCAGCATATGAGCAGAAGTTGAAGAATGAAAAGAAATCTTGGCATAAAGGCCCATAAGGCTAGGAAGTCCAAGTGGTCCATGGGGCCTGAGAGTGACATTGGCAGGGATAGAAACAGAAATAGGAAGTACTTTCTGACATCAAAGGCACATTCTGAGAACTGGATCATTATTAAACTATAGTCAAGTTGGGTGTGTGATGCACATCTGTAATCCTGGAGGCTCGGGAGATTGAGACAGGAGGATCACGAGTTCAAAGGCAGCCTCAGTAAAAGCGAGGTGCTAAGCACCTCAGTAAGACCCTGTCTCTAAATAAAATACAAAATAGGGCTGGGGAAATGGCTCAGTGGTGGAGTGCCCCCGAGTTCAATTCCTGGTATCAAAAACAAAAAACTAAAGTCAGCTCTCATACCTGCAGTCTCTGCATCAGTAGATTCAACCAATCACAAATTGGAAATATTTGAAAAAAAAATTATTCTGTATTAAATATGTACAGACTCTTATTCCTTGTCATTATTCCCTAAATTATACAGGATAAAAACTATTTACATAGCGTTTATACTACATGAGGTATTATGAATAATCTAGAGATTGAGTTATAGTATCTGGGAGAATATACATAGGCTATATGCCAATATTACATTGTTTTATATAATGGAACTTGGATTTTGATATCCTAGGGAGATGATCCTAGAACCAATCTCCCACAAACACCAAGAAAAGACTATATGAGTTTGAGACTGACAATAGGTACATCTGAGTGAGTAACATGACACATAACTATAAGGTCAATTTCTTACCTCTACGCTCTTTTCACTTCTTTCACGAATTAATTCATTTTGTTCTCTTAATTGCTGCTGTTCTTCTTGAAGTGAACAAATCCGATCTGTTGCAGCTGACAGCTGATTAAGAGAGATTTTTACATTTCTTAACATCAAAGTTAATCTTACTGTTAAAATTAAAATATCTACTCGGCATCTTCACAATTAACAACTTATTTTCAGATGCCTTATACTGAATAGGGAATATATGGTTCAAAATCCCAAAGACACAAAAATGTATATAGTAAAACTCCCTCTCCCATCTATCTACCTGTGCCCTTAGTGATCTCAGCTCTCCCCAGATTTTCTCCCTTTGCAAAAATGGTAATATACTACTACTTCATGTGGGCAATGATTTATTGACCAAAAAAATCAGCAACAGCCTGAATTCTACTATTAGAGAAATGGTTACATAAATTATAGTGGAAGTAAGGCAGGTGCACTGACACACGCCTGTAATCCCAGTGACTCGGGAGGCTGAGGCAGGAGGATCGTGAGTTCAAAGCCATGCCCTAGAGAAATCCTTCCTTTCCTCGAATATGTTTAGGGAAAAGTTTAGGGAAAAGTATATAGAAGTTGGATGGATCTGCCTGAGGAGAGGATATTACAAGTAAGGGAGATGATAAAATACAGCAGCTAGGTCCCTCCTTATTCTAGACTCAGAACACAGCTTGCAGAGAGATGGGGAGGCTGGAGAAGGAGCAAGAAGCTTGATATCTGTCTCTGGTACCTGGCTCTGTCCTCAGCATCATTTCCCAGTGAAATGCCTCTCTTTTTCTTTTGTCAAAAGCAGTAAAACTCCTCAGAATTACTTTCCATTCAGGCTTGGAAGCCAGTTGGGTTTCTAAGCCATTGCTGTGCCCAAGTGAGACACCTTAAGGTTTTAAAAGGGGTACTACTCTCAAAAGGGAAGAAGCAGATCAAGGTGGTAAAAGCTACTTTTCTCTACTCTCTGAAGATACAGAGAGCATACCTTGATGGAGGAATACTTTTCTCTAAAATCTTCTCTTATAATAATTTGCTTTTAACAAAAATAACCCAGCTGTTCAGTTTTGATACTGAAATCAGACCTTCAGTCAAAGCATGCTACCTGGTCTGAGAGAACATAAAGTGATCTGCTCATTCTAAAATCAATTCACATTCAAGTACTCCCCAACCCTCACAACTGTTCTATCAGGCATAGTCATGATATTCAGTTGGCAATCTTTATGACAATACTGTAAAGTATGTATCATCACCCAACTTTAAGACAAAAGTGAGGCTCAAAGACCTACCAAGGTGACCGTGTCTTCCTATGCTAAATTCAGTGAAGTTTCTCCCATGATGCCCCTACCAATGAACACTGTCTTTGAATTTCCTTCCTCTCTTATAAATCTGAGCTCTTCCTCTGAAAGCCTTCAGGACTGGCCCCTCAGGAGAAAGCAGTCAATTAAAGTGTGCCTTAAACCAGGGTCCTTGTTACAAAGGTGTGCTCACTGAGTCTCCTTTCACTGTCCCCTGTCTCCATGTCTTGGAGGTGTTTCTTTTCCATCTCAAAGTCCTCTTCCTTCCCAATGAGACTAGTGGGGAGGCCTGAGCAGCAGGGACCGCTACCTGTGGAAAGCCTCAGAAAGGCTGAGCAACCCCCCTCCTGCTAACAGGAGACAAGATGTGTCCACCAAAGAGCCTGCTGGGCAGCTGGCAGCAAGCTGTCTTCCTCGGCCTCAGCCCTCCTTCTTCCTGTCCTTTCATTCTCTCTTCCTAGTGAGAAAGCAGAGAAAGACCATGCTGTGGGGAGACCGTTTCCATGCTCCTGAGAGGCCAAAACAGAAGGGGTGGGCTACGGTGCCTCTCATAATGGAGTTTGTGCCTTCTAGGGCAGCAGGGAGGCATGTGACATCACAGGAAAGGTGGAAAAGAGGAAGAAACTGCACTTTGACAGGCAGAAGCTGGACTGTTGCAAAGTACTGTTACTTTGGGATGATAAAACCTAAGACACTAAGAACTGGCTCATGATCAGCTGAGGTGTCTCACTGGGAGTCTTGAATAGGGCAGAACACAGATATTCTCTTGTCCCATGTGCAGCTCAACCCAAGGTTAATAATCCCCCTTCCTAACAGTGAGAAACTTTGGTCAGATATACCAACTGTACCATTTTTCTTAACTTTGGGTCATTCTGTTTGTTCAAGGGTTTCAATAAGTTACAAACCTCTTCCTGAAGCTTTGCATTAGTCTTTTCCAAACCATCTATCTTGGTCTGAAGATCTCCAACTGTGCAGCTGTAGAAAAATAAAAATATTAGGTAAGTGTGAACTCTTTTTTCTTTAAAGCTTTTTTAAAGAAGGACAATATCTTTATTTATTTATTTATTTTTTATGTGGTGCTGAGGATCAAACCCAGTACCTCACAAGTGTGAGGCAAGTGCTCTACTGTTGAGCTATAACCCCAGCTCCTAAGTGTGAACTCTCTGTTTACCCAAATTGTAAATGATGAGAAGAGAAATTCTTAGATTTCCTGGATGAAATGAAAAAGCAAAAGGACTCTAACTCAGAGGAGATGAGAATAATAAAAATATTGTTTTTATTTAAAAAAATTTAAAAATACTTTCCAATAAGTTTCACCCCTAAAATATGTGATTTATTCCCTTTTTAGTTAGCTGAAAATATTTTTATTCCAATACAATAGATGATGGAACCAAAATGTGTCCACATTCACATAGCTAAGGTAATAGTAACAAAGTATTGGTACTTTGGTGCAGGAAGATCAAGTGATTTTTAAATTTTTTTTTTTTTTAATATTCTTTCCTACCCACCCTATTTTTTTTTTTTGCAGTCTGGGGATCAAACCCAGGGCTTTGCACATGCTAGGCAAGTGTTCTACTGTTGAGCCAAATCCCCACTCCCTTTCCCTTAAACCCCCATCTTGCTTTTTTTTTTTGCAGTACTGGTGGTTGAACCCAGGGCCTCTTACATGCCAGGCAAGTTCTCTACCGCTGAGCTACATCTCCAGCCCTTACTTATTTATTTATTTTTGAGACAGGGTCTTCCTAAGTTGCCAGGAGGCTAGCCTCATAGTTATGATCTTCCTGCCTTGGCCTCCTGAGTAGCTGGGATAATAAACAGCTGCCACTGTACCTGGCTACTTGCCCCCTTTTTTTCTTGACCAGGGATTGAACCCAGGGCACTTTGGCACTGAGCTACATACCCAGCCCGTTTTATTTTGAGAAAGGGTCTTGCCAAGTCGCTGAGGATCTTGCTCAGTTGCCAAGACTAGACTTGAATTTACAATCCTCCTCTCTCAGCCTTCCAAGTTGCTGGGATTTTAGGAGTGCACCACTGTACCTGGCACTTCCATTTTTGAAATATTACATAGTATGTGCTTTTATATTAAAAAAATATGTAAAAAGCTAATATAATGAGTCATCAAATAGAAAAACAATGGACTTGGTAAACAATAATGATAATCCCCACAATAATAGCAGTAACTTATTTTTTGGACTATGTGCCAGGCCCTATCTGTTCTAATTACTTTATATGCATCAACTCAATGACACCTCTCCCCCACCAATTTGGTGAGGTAGATTCTACTGTTAGTCTAGTATACATGTAAATAAATTATAACTTTACATTAAAGAACTCACTGGAGTTCATATCCCCCCCCCCTTTTTTGGTACTGGGGATTGAACCCAGGGGTGCTTAACCACTAAGCTGCATCCCCAGCCATTTTTTGTATTTTTATTTAGAGATGGAGTCTCACTGAATTGCTTAGGGCCTTGTTAAGTTGCTGAGGCTGGCTTTGAACATGAAATTCTCCTGCCTCAATCTCCTGAGCTGCTGGGATTACAGCCCAGCTTGTAATCTCCAGCTCTTCTTCCTTTTTTTTGGTACTGAGGATTGAACCTTTAGCTTAGGGCACATTAAGCACACTCTACCACTGAGCTACAACTCGAGCCCCTTTTTTTGTTTTTTAAATTTAACTTAATTCAATTAATTTATTTTTAATTTTTTCTTCTTTTTCCAATTAATTTTTTTTTTTTTAGTTACATATGGACACAATGCCTTTATTTTTATGTGGTGCAGAGGATTGAACCCAGTGCCTCATACATGCCAGGCAAGCGCTCTACCACTGAGCCACAACCCCAGCTCTCTAATTCTTTTAAAATTCATATATCTATGAAGAGCTGCAGACATCTGAACCCAGGGAATCTTGCTCAAGAGCCTGTAATTTAGAGCTGGGCATGGTGGCACACACCTGTAATTCTAGCGGCTCAGGAAAAGTCTTAAAAGAGTATTCAATTTCCAATTCTATACCAACTGTAACAGAAAATAGCAACAAGGAGAAAATACCATAAAAAGAATGTCCGTAAGAGAAAAAACCGAGATGAACAAAGCTGGTAAGCCAGTACCAAATATAAGCTTTGGGCAAATGACTAAGAAATTGATCCCAGGCACAGAAGTAAGGCAAAATTTATTAATTCATTTTGTGAAGCTGTATAACCACGAGGCCATGCCAGAGATAGAAAACTGAGGAACAATTAAGTCAGATTGCAGGTTAAAAGAACAGTAAAAGTATTACATGTGATACAGGAATGGTTCAGTATGACGATATCCAGTAATAAAATATATAACATTAACAGATCAAGGGATATAAACCATGATTGCCTTAATGGATGCTAAAACGCATTTGATGAAATTCAACATCTATCTCTTATAAAAACTCTCAAATTAGGAATCAACCAAGGATCTCTCAAAAACCAGCCAACAGTTAAGGGGTGCCTCCAGGCAGTGTTTCTTGAAGCACTTTTGGAGGAACGTGCCAACTTCTTTGTCTGTTCCATTGGTTTGGGGTCAGGGGGCCTGCCCCTGGGAAGTACTGTTAATATGCAATGTACTTTCTAGAAGGGGGTTCAGAGAGAGAACAATATGTCTTCCAAAGACTTTAGGCCAAGTGTCCCCTGACATTGAACCTCTCCCAATTGTATATCTAAGGCCTAGTATTTCTTGGAACACATCAGTAGCCTTTCAGCTAAAATTTTTTAAAAAATCAAGAAATTTTCTTGAGATTGTGATCACATTGATCTTGAAAGTCTAGCCCAGTGGTTTTCAACCTTCTTCTAGTCCAATACACTGGGGGTGGGGAATGGAGGAGGCTATGTGCTGATTTCCATGAGTAACAGGGCTTGCTATGGCAGGGCCTGCCAACCACATGGCTATAGGTGAACACTGGAAATTTAAGGTTTAATGTGTTTACCTGTCCATACTGTATAACTGCACAAAACAAAGAACCAAATAGTCCCCAAAAGTTGTTTATCAAGAAGAAATCCTTTTACTCTAGTCTGTACACATGAACACTTTATGAATGATTATAACCCCTTTTCATGGTTTGGAAAAAAAAATCAGTATAAACATGTAGAAACTCAAAAAGTCCCAAGAAACAGTGACAAGATATTGAATACCACTGGAATAAAGGAGCGAGTCCTACCTCAGGTGCCGGTTAAGTTCTTCCACATAATTTTTTTGATCAAGGACATCGGTAATTCTTTCATGCCTTATAAAGAAAGCATACAAAGGGGAAAAAAATTTATTGGTGGTTAATAGTTTGTAACTGTCCTCCAACCTTCTGATCATCTTGTAGAAATGCAAATGTCTTCGCAAACCAATAGTCAGAGCTGAGTAATGTCTGCATGGCCCTTGAGTAAATAGAGAGCAACACTAGCCAGGGACATAGCATCTGGGGCGTGGGGAACAAGTGCCCTTAGAGAAGGTACCCAGAAGATGTCCTCCCTCTTCTGCAGACTGGCCAGGTCTTTGGCAAAAGGGGCAGTAAAAATGGAGAAAATCCACAAGCATGCTCTGTTCTTCTGTAGAGCTTAATTCCTTAGTGAAAATGAAAACATATTATCTGTTATTAATGAAACTAAACAAAAACTAAAATCTAATTTTTTCTTGGTGGAACTGGGGATTAAACCCAGGAACAGTTTACCACTGAGTTAGACTCTCAGCCCGTCTTATTTTTTATTTATTTTATTTTTAAAAAATGTTTTAGTTGTACATGGACACAATACTTTTATTTATTTATTTTTATGTGGTGTTGGGGATCGAACTCAGTGCCTCACATGTGCTAGATGAGTGCTCTACCACTGAGCCACAACCCCAGCCCCTTATGTTTTTATTTTGAGACAGGGTCTTGCTAAGTTGTCATCCCTGAACTGTGATTCTCCTGCCTCAGTCTCCTGAGTCACTGGGATTATAGGCATGTGCCACTGCAACGCCCACCCCCCCTGCACAAAACAAAACAAAACAAAAAAACCAATAACCAAAAACTCCCTAAATCTCAAAGCAAAAACAAGAGTAGAGTTCTCTGGCTGGGCATGGTGGCACATGCCTGTAATCCAAGAGACTTGGGATGCTGAGGCAAAATGATTTCATGTTCAAGGCCAGTCTCAGCAACAGTGAGGCCCTAAGCAACTTAGCAAGACACTATCTCAAAATAAAAAATAAAAAGGGCTGGGGATATTGCTCAGTGGTTAAGCACCCCTGGATTCAAACCCTGTACCAAAAGAAAACAAAAGAGTAGTATTCTACTACTGCCAGAATTTCATTAAAACTGTGAAGAAAATAGTATACTATGTAGTACTTACTCTTTGCCACCATCAAGATCCTGCACATCCTTAAGGTAGAGGGAAAAATCAATCACTCCAACCTGATTTAAATAAAATGCACAAGTTTAAATAAATGATAACATTTCTCATTTTCAATAAAGCCTTATAATTCTTGGAATTCAGGATATTCAATTCCACCACAGCTAGATATCTAAAGAATCACATTATCTATCAAGATTAACAAAGTTCTGCCAGGCATAGTGGTGCATGCCTGTAATCCCAGCAGTCCGGGAGGCTCAGGCAGGAAGATCTTGAGTTCAAAGCCAGCTGCAGCAACTTATTGAGGCCCTAAGCAATTCAGTGAGACCCTGTTTCTTAATAAAATCTAAAAAAGGGCTGGGGATGTGGCTCAGTGGTTAAGCGTCCCAGTACCAAAAAAGTTTAACAAAGTTCTTTGGGTATAAAGTAATTATAAAAGAGAAAGAAAATGCTATCTAGACAGAAGTAGATATTTTAACTGACACTTCTGAGTCCTTTTTTTTTTTTTTTTAAACATTTTCAGTTGTAGATGTACACAATACCTTTATTTTATTAATTTCTTTTAAAAATATTTATTTTTTAGTTTTAGGTGGATACAATATCTCTGTTCCATTTTTATGTGGTGTTAAGGATCGAACCCAGAGCCTCACACATGCCAGGCGAGCGCTCTACCACTTGAGCCACAACCCCAGCCCTTTATTAATTTACTTTTTATGTGGTGCAAAGTATTGAATCCAGAGCCTCACACTTGCTAGGCAAGTACTCCACCACTGAGCTACAACCCCAGCCTTTCTGAGTCCTTCTTTACCCAAATTTTGGTGAAATGATCTATCTAGTCTGTATTTCAGGGAAAATTCTCTGCCAGTGCTCGGAGTTAGAGAAGACTAAGACCCCTTAAACATCTAAACATCAAAGGCTTTTGATATTTCTGTTAAGAAATAAAGCACTTATAAGTGAAGCCATTCCTATTTAAATTACAGGAAAATTCGGTACAACTGAAATCTCCACCTATGAGGAAACACTTAATTCAACCATGTTATACCATATCACAAAAAATCAGTGGATCAATGTATGATAATTTGGAAAAGTCCCAAGATACAATTTTAAGCCAAATAATAATATGTATATCATTAACCCCAGAATAGTAACCCCACTATATTAAAACCAAAGTTGTATGATGGATTTAAGACACAACTATACCTTTTCTACCTTCATCCCTTAAACCTACATGCCTTTAGTGCCAATATTTTTTTTTTTTTTTTTGCTACTGGGGACTGAAACCAGGGGTACTTCACATACCCAGCCCTTTTAATATTTTATTTAGAGACAGGATCTTGCGAGTTGCTTAGTGCCTCAGCCTCCAGAGCTGCTGGGATTCTAAGTGTGAGCTACTGCACCCGGCTCTTAGTGCCCGTCTTGATAAAATGCAGTAGAAATGATGCTGTATGACTCCTTTAGCTCAGTTAAAATAGACAATACAGTTTCTATCTGTCTATTTCTCTTAGAATATATGCCACTGAAATTCTGAGCTTTCATGTAAAAAGTGAAAAGGCTCGATACCACCTGGAAAGACTACACACAGATAGCAATGTCTAAGAAGCCCTTGCTGTTCCATCCCCAGCTCTTTTCAGTTTGCTCAGTTAGAGGACAGTCACAGCAGAGAGCAAGCCCCAGGTAATTCTGGCCCCAGCTACCATCTGACTGTACCACATGTGCTCTTGAACAAGAACCACCTACCTGACCCCATTCAACCCCTAACTGTGAGAGATACAGTAACTGTGATAGTTTTCATGTCTGTTGATTTCTTACACAATAACACTAGAAGATTTAATTTAAAACAAAACCTTTGGATACATAAATAAAGAGAAAAGGCTGTAAAAGATTTCTCCCCAAATCTTTACCACAACTTGTGGAGAAGAGAGGACTGAGAGGGAAGAGAAGGGGATTCAAACTTCACTTTTTACTCTATATTCTTATATACTGCCCAAGTTTTTTTCAGCAAGCATGGATTTCTTTTGTAATAAAAAATGAAATCATAAAAACATATATAAATCAGCTGGAAAATACAATGATAGAATGAGAAAGAACTAATTAATAGTAAAAATAGAAATTAATGGATTAGAAAACAAAGCCCTATTCTCAAAGTTCAATCTGTACCAAGTGTGATCAATATTTAACAAGTGCACAGTATTATAGATGAGGACAGTGAGATTTTAAAAAGCTGCAACAGAAAGTTGTCATACAACTCTAGTCTAAAAGATCTGAATGAGGGCTGGGGTTGTGGCTCAGCGGTAGATTGCTCACCTAGCACGTGTGAGGCCCTGGGTTTGATCCTCAGAACCATATAAATATAAATAAAATAAAGATATTGTGTCCATCTACAACCAAAAAAAAAAAAAAAAAAGGATCTGAATGACATGATTTCCAGCTGGGCAGAGTGATGCACCTTTATAGTCCTAGCAACCTAGGAGGCTAAGGTAGGAGGATTACAAGTTCCAGGCCATCCTGGGTAACATAACCACACAAACAATCAAAACACAAACACAAAAAGGGCTGAGAATGTAGCTCAGTGGTTCAATTCCCAGTACTACAAACAATAACAACAATGACAACTTTCTATATGGCAAACAGCTTTGAGAAACAAACAAAAAACCCCAATTAATTAAAAACAAAAATTTCAAAAAAGGGTCAATGTCCTAACCCTATTAAAAAAGATATGAAACAACAAAAAATGGAAAACAGAAAATTGGGCAAAGGACATGAATAGGTAGTCATAACAGTTCAAATAAAACTTGATACTTCTTAAAAATACAGATTTGAGATGAGATGTACTGTCTATCTGAAAAGGACTGAGAACATGTGCAGTGTTAGCAAGAGAAAGAGGGTTCTCTTATATAAGGCCAGAGGATAGGTCCTGGAGGTCAATTTTACAGTATGTGGAATATAGTAGATACTGTAACAAAACAACTCCAAAATTTATCCTAACTAAGTAAATGAACAAGAGTACAAAGAGATATTAGGACATTTATAATATTGTTGCTATAACATGGAAATGATCTAAATTAGTAAGATATTGGTGAAATTATGGTACGAATTATGGTATGTTTAAAAAATGGAATATCATGCAACCACCTTAAAATGTTTTACATCTCTACTGTCATTGAGTGTGGTATGGAATGTATACTGTCAAATTAAAAAAACACCAAGTGGGCTGGGATTGCGGCTCAGCAGAAGAGCGCTTGCCTAGCAAGGGCGGGACCTAGGTTTGATCCTCAGCACCACATAAAAAATAAAGGCATTGTGTTGTGTCCATCTACACCTAAAAAATAAATATTTAAAAACAAAACCAAAAACAACAACAAAAAAACACCAAGTGCTGGGGTTGTGGCTTAGTGGTAGAGACTTACAGAGCATGCATGAGGCACTGGATTTAATCCCGGTGCTACACACAAATAAACAAAATAGGTGCTGGGGTTGTGGCTCAGTGGTAGAGTGCTTGCCTAGAATGTGTGAGGTACTGGGTTCAATCCCTGGCACTATATAAAAATAAAAAAACAGGTATTGTGTCCATCTACAACTAAAAAAAATTAAAAAAAAAAATCAAAAAACTACCAAAATGTTGTGCTTAGGATATTTTTTTCATGTATTCACTTTTATTCATGTACCAGATATATACCTTGGAGTAATGACATTATGCGTGGTTTAGTTTCATTTTAAAAATACTTCTAGGGGCTGGAGTTATGGCTCAGAGGAAAGAGTGCTCTCCTCGCATGCGTGAGGCACTGGTTTCGATCCTTAGCACCACATAAAAATAAAATAAAGGTATTGTGTCCACCTACAACTAAAAAATAAATGTTAAAAAAATACTTCTATTATTGAAAAAACTTCAACAGTAAAAACAATAAAAAGTATTTTTCAAAAAAAGGTATGTAGGGCTGGGGATATAGCTCAGTTGGTAAAGTGCATGCCTCACATGAGCAGGCCCAGGGTTCGATCCCCAGAACCAATAAGGAAAAAAAAAAAAAAGTTGTGTGTATGGGCAGGGAGATGTTATAAAAAAAATGTGAGGCCCTGAGTTTGATCCCCAGTACCATGCATACACTGACATCAACAAAAGTTGATGTGGACATAGAGGGATTTGGGAAGCTTTAGTTTAGTTTTTTTTTTCCCCGTGGTACTGGGGATTGAACCCAAGGGTACGTTATCATGATGCTACATCTCTAGCCCCCCAGCTCCTTTTAAAATATCTTTATTTTGTTTATTTATTTTTATGTGGTGCTGAGAATCAAACTCAGTGCCTCACATGTGCAAGGCAAGTGCTCTACCACTGAGCCACAACCCCAGTCCCCATCTCTAGCCCTTTTTAAATATTTTGTTTTAAGACAGGGTCTTACTAAGTTGCTGAAGATACTGCTAAATTGCTGAGGCTGATGGGAGAGGGGAGGAAGAATGGAGGGAAAAGGTAGGGAATCATGAACTAAAATAGATTTCCATGCACATAATGTTTGCTGGGATGAAGCCAACTACTATAAAGTAAAGTAACTATAAAGTTCTAAAAAAAAAAAAAACCCCAAAATCAGGAAAAAGAAGAAAAATTGCTAAGGCTGGCCTTGAACTTGTGATCTTCCTGCATAAGCCTCCCCAGCAGCTGAAAGTACAGGCACATACCACTCCATCTGGCTTATACTTTACTGCTTACTCTAATTTGTGTCCCATTTTATCAACCTGACTCTATTTTCCCATTTCTCATCCAACCTTCTGGAACTTTTGGACTAGTCTTCTCAATGTTTTTGCTATGTCTACTCTAGGCCACTTCTAACTCATGCATGGCCTGAATGGCTACTAGATCAATCTTTCTCAAATCCAGGCCTGGTCATTTTAGTACAGTGCTTAAAAACCTCCAGCACTTTCCTAGGTTTAAAGGGCAAGAACTAAACCCTTTAATGTGACACTAATGGCCTAATAACCTGCCAGTTTCCAAAACCTTTACCTCACTGGGCAAACTCTATTCCGGTATGAAGAACATACTAGGCTTTCTGGTGTGCCTCTGTCCATCACCTTCTGTGAGTTGCTTTCCCCACTACTTTCCTCTCTGCCACAGCACAGCACTTTGCTCAGTTTTCCACCAAAAGGCTTTTGACCTCTGTCCCGTTTTAGATTCAGTACATGTTTGCAGATTCCATGTAAAATTCCAGGGATAATTCATTCATCTAGAGCCAAAATCCCATTTTACCTGAGAATCCAAGTCTTCTCCTTTTAAGCAGAGATTGGCATCAAGAACATTGAGTCCCACCAGCAGACCAACAATCACCATCCCTTCTTCCTCCATCATCAATGCCTCAGGTTCATAGAACTCACTAAAAGAAATTGACATGACAAAGGAGATGCTCAGAAATAACTTTTAGACTCCTTCACCACAACCTGCTCTGCTTTTTCAACTGTTAGCAGATAGGCTAGCTACTGACCTCATCCAGGAGCCAGTAGCTACATGGTGGCAAGTTCTTTTCATTTATTTCCACTATGTCAAGTACTACTATTCCTTCTCTGCTACTATTTGGTGGGGTTCTTTTTTTTGTCTTTTTTGGAACTGGGGGTCGAACCCAGGGCTTTGCGAATGCAAGGCAGACGCTTTGCCACTGAGCTACATCCCAGCCCCCTTCTCTGCTACTATTTGGATATTAAGTATCTCCTAAAGATCTGTGTGGTAAAGGATTGATGCTATTGGGAGGTGGTGGAACCTTTAAGAGGTAGGGCTGAATGAGAGATCTTTAGGTCATGACAGATGTGCCCGAGAAGAGAATATTGGGATCTTGGTTTCTTCTCTCTTTTGTTTCCTGTCCAGGAGGTGAGTGGTTTTTATTCTGCAACATGTTCCTGTTGCCTTGCCAGAGACCCAAAGCAACAGGGTCAACTGATTTTTTTTAGAGTTGAAACCTCTAAAAAATTATAAGCCAAAATTAACTTCTTCTAAGATGATTTGCTCAGGGTTTTTTTTTTTTTTTCCCCCTTCTGATTGGGAATTGAACTCAGAAGTGCTTTACTGCTAAGCTACATCCTTAGTCCTTTTTTTTTAAAAAAATTTATTTTTATTTTGAAGACAGGGTTTTGCTAAGTTGCTGAGGGTCTTGATAAAATGCTGAGACTGGGGCTGGGGTTGTGGCTCAAAGACAGCGCTCACCTAGCATGTGTGAGGCCCTAGGTTCGATCCTCAGCACCATATAAAAATAAAATAAATATATTGTGTCCACTTATAACTAAAAAATAAATATTAAAAAAAAAAATGCTGAGACTGGCCCTGAACTTGTGATCCTCCTTCCTCAGGCTCATAAATTGCTGGGATTACAGGTGTGCCCCACTGTGCCCAATTTTAGGTATTTGTTATAGTGATGGAAAGCTGACTGATATATTCTCCATCCTTTCCTCTTCCTGTGGTTTAGGATGGGCTCTTCCCTCTTTCTGTTTAAGGCTAATTCCTCCATTCAGATCTTGAACCCCAGTCCTTCTCATTATCTCTTGAACACTGCGTTCCTGAGCATCACTCTGCCTCTCCTACTCTACATTAGTTCCCCATTTGCAATGATATGAACTACTTCTACATTTATGCTCTTGATAAACAGGAAATAGGAATCCATAGCCTCCCCACATCCAAGAATAAAACCCTTTCCTCTTCCTGTGTCCCACTGAGCGATCTGTGCTGTAAAAACTTCCTTACCGCCTAGTCATCTCAGTCATTTACAGTGGGGTTCCATCCCCTTTGCTATTGATTCTTATCACTAATGATTTACTAATTTATCAAATCCACTGGCACCCAGGCAATTCTGTGTGTGTGTGTGTGTGTGTACATATACATATGTGCATTCAGAACTTAATGTCTTAAGAATTAGCATATTAGAACAAAATCTGTAGCTCAAATTACTCAGTATAATTATATTCAGAGTACAATGTATATGAAATACTTGAAATAAGTATTTATCACATAAAAAGATGTTCAATAATAGGCTGTGACTTAAAAACACTGAAAATTTTGGGGTTTAGACCACACTGTAAAAAATACTTTAATCTCACTCCCTAAAAGAATTAACTCCAAAGTGATTCCTGAGTTGTAAATTCTTGTAGTCTAGAGAAAATTCCTTTTATAATGACTACTTACTTATATAGATACAAATATAAAAAATGAGCCAGTTATAAATTTCAGTGATAGGCAAATTAAGTTTTTACTAATGATAAAAGATATAAAATTTTATAAACTGGATATGGAATCCTGAACTCGGTAATATAGATGTGTTCTGTTACAAAAAGCAGGATTTTATACTTTTAAAATTGCCCACTGTGGGCTGGGGTTGTAGCTCAGTGTTAGAGTGCTTGCCTCGCATGTGTAAGGCACTGGGTTTGATCCTCAGCACCACATAAAAAATAAGTAAATAAAATAAAGATATTGTATCTATCTACAACTAAAAAAAAAAAAATTGCCCACTGTATCTAGTTTTAAACTCATTTCTTTCTTGTTATCATTCAATGTAATAAATACCATTTCATAGAAACTGGAATAGTTTGTCAGTTATCAAATCTTAGATATTGGTACTTTTAAAGAATTATATTCAAAATTTTTCAAAATGAAGTCATGTGAATATTCACTCATAATGACTTTCAGATATCAGTGCTCAAAAGAGAAACATTGCTATTTTAAAACTATGCCACAGAAGAAATATTTAAGATGATAATTTCAATAAAACATTATATACTCATATTTTAATTCAAAATGACCTACAGAACTATGCTCTAATTATTTACAAAGCAAAAGATAAGCAAAGATAGATGATGAAATACCTTAAGAGATGTTTATTGTCTATAAGTACTTTCAGATAATCTGCCAGTTTCTTTTGCATGAGAGCAAGATAAAGCCAAGCTCTGCCTCTTCCCACAGCTGTCCTAGAATTCAAACAGAACCAAACTGTTGTGTCATAACCATAACAACATACAGAAAAACCAAACCAAACCAAACCCCCCAAAACCAATCTTCAGTTAAGCCAGAGTGATATACATGATTGCGCTCTTGAATGCACAGAACAGTGTGAACAGGTGCTTTAGGGTGGAAGGAGGGATGTGCATCATTTGGGCATGCAGAGAAAAAGGCCCACTGCGTAATACCTTTGTGTATTATTTAAATTTTATACCATGGGCATGATATATTTCAATAAAAGGAAAATATCTTAAAGCCAAAAAAATACAATTTCTAGAATAAAACAAGATAAAATTTCATGGAAAGCCAGAAAATATTAGGTTAGATTTGTATAGGAAAAATTTTTTTCAAAAGACTGATCATCATGCATGTTAAAGTGCTGATGTCTCATAAGTTTTCTAAGGCATTGGCTCAAAGGAGCAATTTTGTTTTATTTTTAATTGTAGTAAAATACACGCAATATAAAATTTATCTTCTTAACCATTTTTATTTATTTTGCTTATTTTTTTGGCATTGGGGATTGTTTGTTTTGTGTGGGCTGCTGGGGATTGAACCCAGGGCCTTGTGCATGCAAGGCAGGCACTCTACAACTGAGCTATATCACCAGCCCTTGGCACTGGGGATTGAACCCAGGGATACTTTGTCACTGAGCTACATCCCCAGCTCTTATTTTTTATTTTGAGACAGGGTCTTGTTAAGTTGCTTACAGCCTCACTAAACTGTGCAAGCTGGCCTCCACCTTGGATCCTCCTGCCTCAGGCTCCTGAGTTGCTGAGATTACTGGGTGGCTTAACCCAATTTTAAACATATATTTTCAGTAGTATTAAGTAATTTACACTGTTTCCCAGCTGGTCACCAACTGCACAAAGATGCACTTGGAAAAGGCCTGCATTAAAAAATTAAAAGAAAAAATGCCTTCCTATTGTAGATCTAAAACCACTTAAAGAAAAAAAGATTGTTTCTAAGCACAGCAACTGCATTTGTAACATCAAAGAAAGTAGTGAAGGTAATCAATAATCTGCATAAAAGGAAGGTCTTAGGCCCAAAGACCTTGCTACAAAGGTCAAATGCAGTCTACATTTCAGAAGCCAGGCTCAGAAAAGTTAATCTAATTTCATCAATAAAAAAGGCTTTGAGCCAGGGTTGGTGGCACATGTCTACAATCACAACTACTTGGAGGCTGAAGCAGAGGGATTACAAGTTTTGGCAATTTAGGGAGACGCTGTCTCAAAAAAAAAAGTCAGTATTGTGGGCTGAGTAGTGTGTGCTACCAGGTTTGACTTCAGTGGTAGAACATTTGCCTCTCACGCGGCACTAGGTCGATTCTGAGCACCACATAAAAATAAATAAATATAATACAGGTATTGTGTCCATTTATAACTAATATATATAATTTTTTAAAACATTTTTTTAGTTGTAGATGGACACAATACCTTTATTTATTTGTGCTTATATTTTATGTGGTGCCGGGGATTGAAACCAGTGCTTCACAAATACTAGGCAAGTGCTCTACCACTGAGCCACAACCCCAGCACCCTACAACTAAAATATATTAAAAAAAATGGTCAGTATTGAACTGTACATACAGTTTTGTAGTTTTTTTTCATTTGATTTTTAACTTCTTTCCATATCAAATATTCATTCACATCTTTTTAATTAATATCGTTAAATGACATAATAATTACATATATTTATAGGGTACCTATATCAGCATTTTATGCATATGAAAATAAGTACACAAACTCTTATTGTCCTCCTTAAAAAAAAAAACAAAAAACTAATTAGCTGTTCTGCAACTTGCTTATTTCATTGACTATCTGTCATCTTGAAAATCTTCCCATATTAGTACACAGATGATTTAACTCAATTTTCTATACCTTTAGTGTTTTATTATTAGACTGCACCATTGTTTACTTAGTTTTTTTTTTTTTTGATACAGGGCATTGAACCCAGGGACACTCAACTACTGAGCTACATCCCCAGCACTTTTTTACAGTTTATTTAAATATAGGTTCTTACTAAGTTGCTTAGGGCCTTGTTAATTTGCTGAGACTGGCTTTGAACTCTCAATCCTCCTCCTGCCTTCGCCTCTAGAACTGCTGAGATTATAGGCATTTGCCACTGTGCCCAGCTAGCTTTTTTTTTAAAAAAATAAGCTGGTTCTAATCTACTGTCATAATATAATTCTATATACTATATGCATCTCTCCCTCTCTCTCTCTTTTTTTTTTCTCTGTTGCTAAGATGGTCTGGCACTTCTTGGCTCAAGTTATCTTCCTGCCTCAGTCTCTCAGGTAGTGTGTGCCATCAGGTCTGACTCTGTGTCATTTTCACATTACATCTGTAGGATAATATGCCTAGAAATGAAATTGCTGGGTCAATGGGTAGATGTATTTGTAATTCTGGTGGATAGTACCAAGCTATCCTCCACAAGAATGAGTGCAATATGATGCTATGTGAGGGTTGGGACAATCAAAAAAGTATAAAATCTATTTGGCTAATTATACACTAAAAGGACCTGGAAGGATACTGACCAAGACATTAATAACATTTTCTGTTTTTTATTATCTTTGTTATTGTTGTGTTGGGGATGGAACCCAGGGCCCTGTGCATTTAAACACCTGCTCTTATCACTGAGCTACACTCCCCAGTCCCAAAGTTTTTACCTAGCTAGTAGGAAGGTGAAAGTTTTGAAATTTTAATTTTTCTTTGCCTTGTTTTTATGTCTCAATGAAAAATTAGCACTTAGGAAAAAAAAGTTATTTTTAATTTTCATAAAAGAGAAAAGGCTTGTCTAGGTTTAAATGCCAATATGAGCAAGTGGTTTTTATCATATATAGTTATGTTCAATAATTAAACCATGGTGAAAACAAATAAGAATTTTGGATATTAGGTCATGCTATAAAAGATAGTTTATGCCAGGTGTGGTGGTGCATGCCTGTACTCCCACCAGCTCGGGAGGCTGAGGCAGGATAGTGAGTTCAAAGCCAGCCTCAGCAATTTAGCAAGGTTCTAAGCAACTCAGTGACACCCTGTCTCTAAATAAAATACAAAAAAGGGCTGGGGATGTGGCTCATTGGTTAAGTGCCACCAGGTTTAATCTCTGGTACAAAAAAAAAGGTGGGGGGATATTTTATGTCAATTGGATAGGGGTATTAAACTAGAGATTCCTCCTAGGATGCAAAATTCATCCTATAAGTTTCAAACTACCTTAAACAATCCTCCACACCCCTAAAAAACAAAAACAAAAAACATAAGCCATAATACTTTGTAAATACTGTAGTAATTTTAGAACTTTTGTTAATATTTAATAAAATAGTAAAAACATTGGAGCTCTTTATGAAATAAAACAGCCCTCAACACGGCTCCTCCTTCTAAAAGGTGGGGAACTGTTATATATCTTTTTTGGACATACATAAGCTTGTGGCTTATTTAACAACCACAGAATTAACAAGGAAACAGATGTGGTAAATTTGGGTGAGAGTATGCTCTAAGTAAAATAAGACTTCAGAAATGCCTTAGGGTTGGGGGGTGTGAGGCCCTGGATTCTATTTCCAACATATGGTGGGAGAGTCATCAAACAAACACTTGAAAAGCAGGGTCTGCAAAAACTTTAAAACTTATGTGGTATAGGCCAGAAGGTTGAACTAGGGATAGGGACAGAAGGCTTAAGTCCAATCTTAAGAAGAATGCACAGGGCTCAGCAGCAATGAAGTTTAGTGGAACTTAAATGATTTAGAATTCAACTGATCCTCCTGGCTGCACCACTCCCTTGCCAAGGAACAATGGACAAGTCACTTAAACACTCTAAGTCTCAGTTTCCACACTAGCAAATGGGAATGTCAACAGCTATCCTAGAAGATGGGTATGCAGAATTAGACAATGAAATGTCCTCAGTACAATGTAGCATGTAGCAGATCCTTAGGGTGGCAGCTGTTATTATTACTGAAAATGGCATAGGCTGGTTCCACAGAAGTGTCAAAAAAAGGCTTAAAAGACAAGTTTTACATCAGTGTAAAAATCCCTAAGGTCCCTTCTAAATGCCAGATTCCATGACAATGCCTTGTGTGTGTTTTGCCTAGTTTTTGATCTTAAGCCTATGTATAGTAGTCCCAAGGGCATAGCTAGTCATTACATAATAATCTGTTGGTCCCAGCCTGTTCACAAATGCCCCTTGTCCTGGAATCTAAAATATGGCCTGAATTGTATTATTCAAACTGCTCAAATATATTTAAAATAGATTCTAGGAGAGTAACAATTCCTTTTCCTCCTGTTCTTTGGTTGACAATGTCTTCATAACCTATTTGACTTGCATAGCAAATAGGAATCACTGTCCTCATGTTAAAGAAAAGGAAACTGAGGCTCAGAAAGGTGCAAATCTTGCTGAAGATCATGTACATAATGAGCAACAGAGCTTAAAAGTCTAAATTAAATGTGGTTAATGCTATAATTTGTTTCAAGTTAGAAAAAGTTTCATTAGCAAGGAACTGAGAAATGGGTAAACAGAAGGGAGATTTTTTTTTTTTTTAAATATCAAATTAGTAAAACTATTTCTCACTCACTTTAATTCTGGCAGATTTCTGACACTAGTAGCTATATCTGATGCTTCTGGACAAAGTTTCTCCACCAGCTCCAAAGGACCAAAGAAAGATTTATTTTGGCCAATAAAACTCTTCTTAACTAAAAGGGAAAACAAAAGCGTTATTCATAAGAACAGGTTGCAAGATTTCTTCTCCCAAAAGATAATAGAAAGTTGCAGAGCTTCACCGCTTAATCCTTCTGATTCAATCTTTTTCTTCTTCTGCTTTTTTTTTTTAAACCCAAACTGCTGTAATAATTGTTGGTCTCCTTACTCTTCATATCATTACCTTCCCACTCTTCCAGTCTGTTTTGAATATACATAGCTAGAAGTTCTTTTAAAAATACAAGTTAGATCATGTTTCTTCCTTGTTTAAAATCCCCCCAATACACATAAAATTAAATCAAACTCCTTATCATGACCTCTAAAGGCGTTATTCAACCCCTTCTCACTTCCCTGACCTCATCTCGTTTCAGTTTCCCTCTCAGCATGCTTCAATTATCAGTTTTCCTCAAACCAAGGTTGGTCACATTCAGGAGCTCTATATGTTGTTGGTGGTATTGTTGTTTTTTTCTCCTGTGCTAGGAATGTTCTTGCCTCAAATCTTTGTAGGACTGTTTAACTTCTCCACAGTAGCTGAAAGTTTCCTTCCTTGATTCTACTTTCTTGAATTTATAGCATTCTGTAACTGTTTAAACATTTACTATCTTCTTATCCTCTAGAATTTTGCTGTCCAAAGCAATCACTAGCCACATATGCTACCTACAGAGTGAGCACTTGCAGCATGGCTAAGTAAAATTGAGGAACTGAATTGAGATGTGCTATAAGTGTAATACACAATGGACTTATTTTAAGCCTTAGGATAAAGAATGCAAAATATGACATTAATAAGGCTTCAAAATAATGATTATGTGTCAACATGATAACACTGTGGATATTACAGGGTTCAACAAAATGCACTACTGATATTAGTTTTAGCTGTTTCTTTTTACTTTTAAACGTGCCTAGCATAAAATTTTAAAATGCCTATGTGGCTTACAGAACATTTCTTTTAGACAGCACTGCTCTAGAAAGAATGCTGCTTCTCGAGGGCAGGAAGTTCTTCTGTATTCTGCTGTTATCCCTTCACTAAGAACAATGTTGGGCACTGGTGAAAAATGATGAGGAAACACCTAACCCACATTTCCACACTCCCGAACGCCCCCTCAGGCTCACCTTTCAGCCCATGTTTGAGGCAGTGTTCCATCACTACAAAAAATTGCTGCAAGGGGGCATGGTCCGCATCCAGGCTGCGACCCAGGCTCAGAGCAGACTGGAGCAAGACCTTGATGCTGAGTTTCATCATGTGCATCAAGTTGGCACGCTCCTCCATCATCTGGCCCTTGGAAGCTGTGGGGCACAAGCAGGGAGAGCTTCGTGAGTGGACTGTGTGTGTTCCAGGAATGGGGGATTTGAGGCTGGATAACGGAGGGAAGACAAACAAAGCACGGAGTCAGACGGTATGCTCAGGGTGCGAACGTGCGGAGTTGCAGGTAACTGGGGTTCGCAGTCATCGGGTCACTGATTTCTAGAGGCCAGAGTCCCACCTGCACCGCCAGGGCCTTAGGTCAGAAGAAATGTAGGGCTTCCTACTTCAGAAGCCTCTCCCAGGGGGCTCCGCGCGTTGCTAGGGCGACAGCTCTACCAAGACTCACGGCAATTGGTCTCTCCTTATTCCATTTCCAACCAATGAAAGGGTGCAAACTCCAGGAAGCCCTGCCCCAAGCTAGAGGTGTTGCTGGGAAAGCGACTGTTCTGTGAGTATTGCTATTGGAAAAATTCAGCTCAAGGGGACTGGGCGACATGCGCGCCGTATGGCGGCCGGATCAGGGAGACTCCAAGCCACACAGGCTGCTCCCAGGGTTCTTTTGTTCGGTGGTGTGGGCTGGGTCGCAGTAGGGAAGCATTCTTTCCCCCAGTTCCTGACTCAAATTCCTGTCAACGAACTTTCTTCCACAACTAGTGGGCAGTTCTCAGTTTTAAACACAATTTTTGTGGAGAGGGAGATTAAAAAATGTCAGAATCAGAGCTGGGACTGTGGCTCAGTGGTAGAGTGCTTGCCTAGCATGTGTGAGGCACTGGGTTCGATCCTCAGCACCGCATACATAACATACATAGTGTCAATCTACAGCTAAATATATATTTTCTAAAATGTCAAAATCAAATCAGCTACATACCGACATCTATGACAAGTGCCTACCAAATGCTCTCGCAACCTAGAAAACTGCCATGCCAGAAATAAAAAATTTAGATCCGAAATTCAGAGCCCCATCAGGAAAACTAAACTCAGGTGCGAAGGGGGCTCTCCCTGGGGGCCGAAGCACCCCTTTCACCGCACCTATGCCATCATTCAATGTTTTCACTTTCCCAGTTTGGCTGAGGCGCGCGGGGTGGGGAAGAGGATATGGTATTGTTTCAGTTTGCAGCTAATTACTACTGAGGTTAAGCCCTTTTTCATAAGTTCATTGCCTCCTAGCATTTCTTTGTGAATTGCTTGTTCCATCTTCTAATTTTTGTACAGAATTGTTTGCCCTGTATACTCCAGATACTGCATTAATATGGACATATAGTTAAAAGAACATGTATACACATGTACACAAACTCTTTTGTATAGCTATAAGTAAAACTATTTAAATCTAAAAAAAATGATGCTGTTATGACTGAACTTTAATGAAGGTCTTAAGAAAATAGGGTGATATCTGGGACTCTATATCTGCAAAACCCAAGAAGATAGGGAGAGAGCTGCTGGGAAAGACAGTATAATCATTTTATCTTGGTTGTGAAGAGGAAAACATAGGTTAAGTAAAGCATTTGAATATGGGTGGTATAATTATGTTTAAATTTTTAGAGAACCTTGTTTATTAAATTTATAAATTTAAAAAATTTTTAATGAAGTGATGATTAGAAATGGAAAAGGAAATAAAAATTGTAAAATCTCTTCAAGAGAAGGGAGAAACCATCAATTATCACAGAAACAGTTTGTAAAGATTTATCTTTTAAATTAAAGACACCAATCCCAGTTCTATAAGCTAGTAGTTTTCATATCAGATACATATAGGGTAAGTCTTGCCAAGGACTGGTCATACCCTGATATTTTAAGGAACTCAATTTCCATATCCTCAGGTTTCACAGGCAGTTTCTTCCCCTTCTCATTTTATAGAAAGGCAATTCATTTCCCATCCCATAACTTGCCTTTATGCAGTGACCTAAGGTGCAGAATATCTCCCATACTAAAAGGAGGTGAAGCCTCCTTTGATGATTAATCAAGTCACCAAAAAAATGTGAAGAATTTCCAATCTCTTATTGCTTAATGTACTTCCCATAAATACAATGTCCCTCCTTATCTGTGAGACATATGATCCAAGATGTTCCAAGGATGTCTGAAACCTCAATAGTACCAAACCCTATACATACTATGTTTTTTCTTATACATACATACCTATGATAGTTTAATGTATAAAGCAGGCACAGTAAGAAATAGAATAATTATAATAATAAACTGTAATAAGTTATTTAAAATTTATAAAGTATCTAGTTTTGTAATTTTCCATTTAATATTTTCAGACCACAGTTGATTGCAGGTAACTGAAGTCACAAAGTGAAACTGTGCATAAGGGGAGACTATTATTTAAGTTTTAGTCAGTTCTATATGTATCTCTATGATGTGTCATTAACTTGACTGACGTTTTCCACAAATTGAGCCAAAACTATAGCTTCAAGTTTTCGATGAAAATGGATTTAAGGTACAATAAGCTAAAAAACTGTTCATCAAAATATATTCCATTGGCAAAAGTGTAATGAAATAAGCAATATTTACATGTCCACAACCATCCAGAGTATTCTGGGTTAAACAGGGTGCCTAATTATCATTTGACAAGTCTTAGAAGAGCTTTTTTTTTTTTTTTTTTTTATTTTGCTAGAAGTTGATTTTTTTTTTTTTTTTTTTTTTTTTTTGGTGGTTCGGGGTTTTGAATCCAGGTCTACCACTGAACTATACCTCTTTTCATTTCTGAGACAGGGTGTTGCTAAATTATGCCAAGGTTGGTCTTGAACTTGTGATCCTTTGCTTCAACCTCCCAAGTCGCTGGGATTATGGGTGTGCACCACCAGGCCTGGTGCGATATTTCTTGGATATATCCAGATTGCATACTTTTGCAAGGCAGGTAATTTTCAATTATTTGCTTTCTTTGTTGAAAGGAGCAAAAATAACTTTTGATATTAGAGCAATGCTATGTAGTATACAGCTTGGAAGGAGTTCAAAGATGAGCAATACTGTTATAACAAAACTCCATTTCTATTTCTTATTTATGTATAGCAGATATCTCAGTGATCACATCTATAAAAAACAAAACAAAAAAATAGGTCTAAATTTGATGGTGAATTCTATCCTATTTTAGCAGTAAGTCAATCATACATACTAAGGAAAAAATCAACACCATTCAACATCATTCAGCACTATTCAGCTTGTTAGGAGATGTAAAGACAAATTTATTCATGTTTAATAATAATTTAGAAAAATTACATTCCTTTTATCAATGAAACATCACTAATAGCTTTAATGGTAATTCATTCCAGGAGACAAAAATCTTTATATACTTAAGCTTTAGTTATGAGAAAAATATATAAAATTTTGACTTATTTACATATTTTTGCCAAGATTTATGATAAGTTATCCAGCAATATTTATAAAACCTATCATAAATCTTGGTATATTAAGATAAAATTCTATTGCAGCAGTAGTATGGAAATTCAAGTTCAAGGAATAAGTGGGAAAATGGATGATGGAGCCAGGCATGATGGTACAGGTCTACAATCCCAGTGACTTGGAAGGCTGAGACAGCAGGATGGCAACTTCAAAGCCAGCTTTAGAAAGTTAGCAAGGACTTAAGCAACTTAATGAGACCCAGTCTCAATAAATAAATAAAGGGCTAGGGATGTGGCTCAGTGTATAAGCACTCTTGGGTTGAATCCCCTACACCAAAAAAAAAAAAAAAGGGACAACGGTGCTTATCAAATCATTAAGGTATTTATATACCAATTGATTCACTCAAGGAAACCTGTATCAGCTTTATTTTTAAAGGTCAATATTTACAATAAAGCAGAAAATGTTTTCTGAATAACTTCAAAATATGATGAATTTTATGTGTCAACTGTAAAAGCTGCAGTGTTCTGCCCCCACTGCCCTGGTTCTAGGGATTAAACCCAGGGTTTTGTGCATGATAGGCAAGCACTTTACCGTGGAACCATACCCCCAGCTCTCAAAGATGGAGTCTTTTAAGAAGTCACATGAACAAAAACATAAGACCAGTGTCCCAGGCAGTTGGAGCTGGGTGGCAGTAGCTTTTTCCACTGTTTCTGCACAGCAGTATTTGCAATCACCTCACACATCCCTTGTTTTTTCAGTACCAATTTCCATTTCTATTCAGTATAGAGGATCATGGAAATTAAGAGCATAGGTATAATCCCAGCGATCCGAGTCACTGAGGCAGGAGGATTGCAAGTTTGAGGTCAGCCTCAGCAATTTAGTGAGACCCTTAGCAACTCAGTAAAACCCTGTCTCAAAATAGAAAATAAAAAGGGCTGGGAATGTAGTTCAATGGTACAGTATCTCAGGTTCAATCTTTAGTGCCCCCCAAAAAGAAAAAAAATATGAACTTGAACAATCTTTTGGCCATTCAAATTTTCCAGATTTGTGATCTTGGCCAAACTAAACTCCTTTAAAAGTAGTTTAAATGGTTAGGGCGAGATGGCACATGCCTGTAATCTCAGAAGCTTGGGAGACCAAGACAGGAGGATCAGGAGTTCAAAGCCAGCCTCAGCAAAAGCAAGGCACTAAGCAACTCAGGGAGACCTTATCTTTAAATAAAATACAAAATAGGGATGGAGATGTGGCTCAGTGTTCAAGTGGGCCCCTGAGTTCAATCCCTGGTGCCCCCCCCAAAAAAAAAGTAGTTTAATGGTGGGTGTGTAGTGGCTCACACCTGTAATTCCAGGGATTTGAGAGGCTGAGGCAGTAGGATTGAAAATTCAAGGTCAGCCTAGGCAATTTGGCAAGACCCTGTCTCAAAATTTAAATAAATAAATAGTGCTGGAGACCTACCATAGTGGTAGGGCACCCCTGGGTTCATGTCCTAGTTAAAACAAAACAAAAACAAACACACAAACACACACACAATGCAATTTACAGAACATCACAAAGCTCTACACTTTTTGAATTACCAAATAAATGATCTGATCGGGGATATCAATCTTGACTATTTTACAGGGTCCAGGCCTGTCATCTAAAGGAGTAAATCTGAAGAAAGATTGAATTAGAAAAAAACATGTCCAATCTCAAGGAATTTTAGGGA